TTTGAACTACAGTGCCACTTCCAGTTTTCTGGTTATTAATTGGAAGTAAGAGTCTCAGGCCTAGGAATGTGGCTTAGTGGTAGAGCGCTTGTTTAGCATGCATTAAGCCCTGGGTTCGATTCCTCAGTACCACATAAACAGAAAAAGCTGAAAGTGGCACTGTGGCTCAAGTGGCCTTGAGCACAGAGAGGCTCAGGGACAGAACCCAGACCCTGAGTTCAAGCCCCAGGTCTGGAAAAAGAAAAAAAGTCTCACAGATTTTCCTGATTCTCAGATCTCAACCTCCTGAGTAGCTATGATGATAGGTGTGAGCCACCAGTGCCCAACTTGTTCTCTTTTATTTTTGCTCAAGGCTGGCATTCCACAACCTGAGCTCCCTTCCACTTCCACCTTTTTGCTGGTTATCTCTGAGTCTCACAGACTTGTCTTCCTGGGCTGGCTTCAAACCTTGATCCTCAGATCTGTCTTCTGAGTAGCTAGCCACTTTAGCCCAGCTCTGATCTCAGAGCCTTGTGCTTGCTTTGCAATTGTTCTACCACTTGAGCTAAGACACAGCCCTTTTTGTTTTGGCAGGCCTTTTTTGTTTTTCAAATAGGGTCTCAGTAATTTGCCTAAAATGACTTCAAACTTTTACTCCTCCCGCCCTGCCTCTGGAGTAGCTAGGATTATAAGCATGTACTGCCACCACACTAGCTTATTTTAATTTATTTTATTGTTATTATAATGGTGATGTACAGAGGGACTACAATTACATGATTAAGGTAATGAGTACATTTCCTTTCCTACAGGGTCTTCCGTTCCCTCTCTCCCTCCTCCCCAATAAAAACATAGCTTCTGGATCATCCTGACATGCAGTAGTCTGGATCATTTGTTCTATTTAAAATAGCAGCCATATCACAGAACCACCTTTCATTATTCTGAGGTGTGTGTGTGTGTGTGTGTGTGTGTGTGAGATATACTGGGATTTATTTTTTTTGGCAGTTGTGGGGCTTGAACTCAGGGGCTTGAAGCTGTCCCTGAGCCCTTTTGCTCAGAGCTAGTGCTCTACCACATTGAACCACAGCACCACTTTCAGTTTTTGAATGGTTTAATTGGAGATGAGTCTCACAAGGACTTTTTTGCTCGGGCTGGCTTTGAACCACAATCCTCAGATCTCAGCCTTCTGAGTAGCTATGATTTCAGGCAGGAGGCATCAGTACCCAGCTCAATACTAGGGTTTAAACTCAGAGCCTTGAACTTGCTCAGTAGGTATACTACTGTTGACCCATGTCTCCAGCCCTTTTGGCACTGGTTATTTTTGAGATAGGATCTGTCTTCCCACCCAGATGTGTACCTGACCTATGATCCATCTATTTCAGGCTTCCTATCATAATTGGTATGACAAGGGTGTTGCCACAATGGTGATTCTTCTTCTCAGCTCACTGGGCTGGCCTGGGACCACAATCTTCCCAATCTCAACCTTCCACATACTTAGGATGGCAGGTGTACATTACTGCACTCAGCTATCCTCTGACAAGGGGTCTCAAGAACCTTTCTGCCCAGGTTGACCTCTAACCTTCCAAGTAGCTGGGGTTACAGGGCATGAGCTTCCAATGCTGGCTTATATTCCATGTTTTTTAAAATTTTTATTTTTATTTTGTTGGTCTTAGGGCTTGAACTGTAGGCCTGGGTTCTGTCTCTGAGCATCTTTTGCTCAAGGCTAGCCCTCTACCACTGTGGCTCTGAGTCATAGTGCTACTTCCTGCTTTTTCAGGAAGACTTTCCTACCTGGGCTGCTTTGAACTGTGATGCTCAGATCTCAGCCTCTTGAGTTACTAGAATTACAGATATGAACCACCAGTGCCCAGCTCAATACTGGCACACTCCAAATTTGATAGTTAAACTGGGTTCACAATTCTAGATTGAAATTTTTCTATACATATTATTTTTGCCAGTCTCGGGGCTTGAACTCAAGGCCTGGGTGCTGTCCCTGAACTTCTTTTGCTCAACTAGCACTCTACCACTTGAGACACAGCACTACTTCCAGCTTTTTCTGTTTATGTGGTACTGAGGAATCAAACCCAGGGCTTTCATGCAAGCTAGGCAAGCACTTTACCACTAAGCCACATTCCCAGCACTGAAGCATTTCTCCATTGTCTTTTGCCTGCCTTTTCTTATTTTTTATTTTTCTTATTTTCTTATTTATTGCAAGCCAGGTCCCGGTGGCTCATGCCTGTAATCCTAGCTACTCAGGAGCTGTGATCTGAGGATCGCAGTTCAAAGCCAGCCCAGACAGGAAAGTCCATGAGACTATCTCTAATTAACCACCAGAAAACCGAAAGTGGCACCGTGGCTCAAATGGTAGAGCACTAGCCTTGAGCTAAAGAGCTGAGGGATAGTGCCCAGGCCTAGTTGAAGCCCTATGACTGACAAAAAAAATAAGGTGATGTACAGAGAGGTTACAGGTTTATTTCATTTTTTCTTTTTTAATATTTTTAATGTAAAAATACTGTACAGAGGGGTTACAGTTACATGAGCAAGGTAATGAGTACATTTCCTATCAAGCAGTTTACCTCCTCCTTTTGTCTTTTTTTTGGGGGGGGGGGCAGTCCTGGAGCTTTAACTCAGGGCCTGGGCACTATCCTTGAGCTTCTTTTACTCAAGGATAGCACATTTTGTTTTTTTTTTCCTGTTGTGGGCTTTGAACTCTGGGCTTGGGCACTGTCCCTGTGCTCTTCAGCTCAAGGCAACTTTCCTGCCTGGACTGGCTTTTTTTGTGTGTGTGTCCGGTCGTGGGGCTTGAACTCTGGGCCCTGAGCCCAGGCATGAGCCCACAGGCGCCTGGCAAGGCTAGTACTCTTACAACTTGAGCCACAGCACTACTTCTGGCTTTTTCTGCTTATGTGGTATTAAGGAATTGAAGCGAGGGCTTCATGCATGTTAGGCAAGCACTCTACCACTAAGTCACATTACCAGCCCAAGAGAGAAGTTAGTTTTTTCTGTTTGTGTGCTGGTTCTGGGGTTTGAACTCAGGGCCTGGGCACTCTCCCTGAGCCTCTTGTACTCAAGATCTTCAGGTTTTTTGTTTTTGCCAGTCCTGGGGCTTGAACTCAGGCCTGAGCTTCTTTTTGCTCAAGGCTAACGTTCTACCACTTGAGCCACAGAACAACTCTCAGCTTTTTCTGTGTATGTGGTACTGAGCGATCAAACCCAGGGTTTCATGTATGCTAGGCAAACATTCTATCACTAAGCCACATTCCCAGGCCCCCACTTTTTTTTTTTTTTGGTACGGTCGTGGGGCCTGAACTCTGGGCCTGGGCGCTGTCCCTCAGCTCTTCAGCTCAGGCTAGCACTCTACCACTTGAGCCACAGCGCCACTTCCGGCTTTTTTCTTTTTGCTTATGTGGTGCTGAGGAATCTGAACCCAGGGCCTCAGGCATGCAAGGCAAGTGCTCTACCACTGAGCCACCTTCCCAGCCCCCAGGTCTTTTTGTTTTTGGTCATGGGGCTTGAACTCTGGGCCTGGACGCTGTTCCTGAGCTCTTCAGCTCAAGGCTAGGGCTTTACCACTTAAGCCACAGTGCTATTTCCAGTTTTCTGGTGTTACTTGGAGATAAGAGCCTCACTGCCCAGGGTGGCTTTAAACCTCGATCTTCAGATCTCAGCCTTCTGAGTAGCTAGGATTACAGGCATGAGCCACCTGTGCCAGCATGAGATAGGATCTCTTAAGACCAAGGTTGGTTCTGAACTCCTGGGCTTAATTTTTTTTTTTTTTTTTTTCTTTTTTTTTCTTTTTTTGCTTATGTGGTGCTGAGGAATCGAACCCAGGGCCTCATGCATGCAAGGCAAGCGCTCTACCACTGAGCCACCTTCCCAGCCCTCCTGGGCTTAATTTAACAATGCATGCCTTAGGCATGCACTGTTTTTAAGGCTGAATAATATTCTCATGTATATATGCCACATTTTTTTTCTTTGGATACTTAGTTGATTCAGTCTTGGTTATGTGCAATGTTGTCATGAACATGAGAACAGAAGTATCTCTTCAGCATAATAATAATTTCATTTTCTTTTTTTCCTACATGCTAACTGGGCCTGAACTCAAGGCCTGGATGCTGTCCCTGAGATTTTTCACTCAAGGGTAGCACTGTACTACTTTGACCCACAGCTCCACTTCCATTTTTCTGGTGGTTAGTTGGAGTTGTACAGACTTTCCTGCCTGGGTTGGTTCTGAACTCAGATCTCAGCTTCCTGAATAGCTAGGATTATAGATGTGAACAACCAATGCCTGGCTTTTTCTTTTTTATGCTGGCCCTGGGACTTGAACTCAGGGCGTGGGCCATGTCCCTGAGCTTTGTTTGCTCAAGGCTAGTACTCTATCACTTTGAGCTACAGCTCAAATGGTTTTTAGGTGGTTAGATAAGAGTTTCAAGGACTTTCTTGCCTGGTCACCTGAATAGCTAGAATTATAGGCCCAGTTTATTTCAGCTTTGTGGTGGTTAATTGGATATAAGAATCTCACAGACTTTCCTGCCCAACCCGGCTTTAAACCAGGATTACAGGCTTGGAACTTACAGGGCTCATTCTCTCTTTTTATTTTTTAAAAAATTTTTTGGCGTACGGTCATGGGGCCTGAACTCTGGGCCTGGGCGCTGTCCCTCAGCTCTTCAGCTCAAGGCTAGCACTCTACCACTTGAGCCACAGCACCACTTCGGCTTTTTTCTTTTTGCTTATGTGGTGCTGAGGAATCGAACCCAGGGCCTCATGCATGCAAGGCAAGCACTCTACCACTGAGCCACCTTCCCAGCCCCTCTCTCTTTTTAAATTGGATGTATCTTCCAAAAAACATTGAAACTAATTCTATCATTTTTCTATTAGTACCTGACATTTATTTATTTATTTATTGCTAAATCAGGTTTTGGAAACACATTAACAGACAAATAAGGAGATAGCTTCAAGTTAAGACAGTATGGGAAACCCTAAATGGTTCTGGAAAGTGAAACAGCCTGGACAAAACCAAGACCTTTAGCATAAATAAAGGTTTTATTGGTCAGTTTGGGTGAATGACAGACTGACATACCCCCAACCTACTGTTGTACACACTCCGGCCCTTAAGGTGACAGAAACAGCTAAACTTATTGACAGTGGGCAGTGAAAAGGATATGAAGGCTTCTGAAGGTTAACAAAGCTAACGGGGCCCGAACCAACGTCCTAGAAATAAATCAAGGATGGAAAAGGCATCATCTAAGGCTGGAGGTCTTGGTGATTCTGGATCTAAGGAGAAAATCATACAAAGAGATAGACTAAATGATAACTGGGAAGAGGCAAACAGAGAAATACTAGTTAAGGCTAAAGAGGGTTTTTTTTGGTTGGTCATGGGGCTTGAACTCTGGGCCTGGCACTGTCCCTCTTGAGCTCTTCAGCTCAAGGCAAGTGCTCTACAACTTGAGCCATAGCATCACTTCCGGTTGTCTGGTGGTGAACTGGAGATAAGAGTCTCATAGACTTTCCTGCCTGGACTGGCTTTGAACTGTGATCCTCAGATCTCAGCCTCCAGAGTAGATAGGATTACAGGAGTGAGCCACCAGCGCCCAGCTGATTCATATTCTTTTTTTTTTTAATAGTTTAATTTTTTTTTATTGTGAAAATACCATACAGAGGGGTTACAATTACATGGGCAAGGTAATGAGTACATTTGTTATAAAGCATTGTTGCCTCCTCCTTTGTTTCCCCTTCCCATCCTCCCCTCCTTCCCCCATTCATAGTCTTAACTTACCAACTCTAAGGCTGCCATCTGCTTCTTGGTGAGTTATTGTGGTCTCCCTCCGACCCTCACTGTCCACTATAGTCCGGTGCTCTTCCACTTTCTGTAAGAAGCCCCAAACACATTCTTAATATAACTTAGAGATATGTTAAGGGTTTCTTTACACACGTCCCTCTTTGCAAGGCATTCCTTAGCTGCTTCACTCTATTCCTTTCTCCCAACTCACCCCATCTGGTTTTGTGATCTTGGTCACAGAGATACTCTTGAAGTAGGACTTGGGCTGAGGCTGCAGAACAGGACCAAGACCTTCCTGGGAAACCTGGGAATCAAGATCTAGAAAGGCAGAGATGCAGAACCAAAAGAGAATGTCATAGGGGAACAAAATGGAATACAGCAAGAAGGAACTTTAGGAAGAACAGACAGACAGAACTCCAGAATAACAAGGGATAGTCAATGCTCCCTCTCCTTGTAGACTCACCATTGTCCTCTCTGGCTCTAGGATGGGGAGTCACAGGCCACATATCATCGAACTGTAGAAGAAGCCATACATAGTAGATGAAAAGACACCTTCCAGACTGAAACCTGAAGGGTTACATACCCCAAAATACTCCAAAGTTCCAGAACCCTTTTTCCCCAGAAGTAATTCCATTTAGGATAGCCTTATTACCAATTCTTCCCTCTTGGTTGTTTCAAATGCCCCTTTAACCAAGAAGCTTTCCTGAACCTTGTCTGTCCTCCCCCCAATAATCCTGCCTTATATCTAAGAATCATCTCCACCTGAAGAAATCCTATTTTTCTCCAAAGCAGCTTACTATAGAAAACCGGTTTGAAAGTATAGGGCAATGAAGGAGCACTGGCCTAGCAATGCATGAGGCCTTGAGTTCTATTCTATCCCCACAGCACAATTTGAAAGATAAGATGTGGTAGAATTGATTCTAGCCATTGTTCATTAGTGGTCTCTCACTTTATGCCCAGATTTAAGTACTCACCCTATGAAAAGGTCTCGGGGACCCCCAGTCTGGTGCTGGTTTGGAGGTTTCAGTTCTTGTATCACTCTCCAAGACCCCCCCAAAGGTCTTAGGCTGATGACTATCTGGGTATTTAAGCATTGAGTCCCGAAGCGTCTGCCCCTCCCGCAGTCTCTCACCAGCTGTCTCTGATTCAGGACCTGGAAGTTCTGCAAAAAGGCGGCACATCGATGCTGGGGTGGGAAAGGACTTGGGCCCTTTAAATCTCCTTGAAATCGTCAGTCTTGTCAACACTTTCCATCCCCTAACTACTCCCTGCAAGCTCTTTACTTCACCCACCAACCTATTAGCAAACATGAGTTCTCCCTCAGGGAAATCCACACACCAGGAGGGCGGGAAGGCAAGGTCCAGGCTCCCATCTCGCCGAAGATGCTATTGAAATCGCGAACGAGTTCATCGAAGCCGAAGTTATCATAGAAACGTATCCCTCCTCTTGGGCTGAAGCTGAAGCCAAATTCCTCTGGGGACTGAGAACCACCAAAACTCGAGCTCCCAGGACCCCATGTGGCTCCTTCTTCCTCGTCCTCATCATCCTCATCTTCATCTCGAGTCATCCCTCCAAAAAAGGGATCCCTGTGGCTGAGGGTGGAGGCAGGTAAGGCACCAAGACTTCAGCCCCACTTATGGCATAGAATCAACGCAACATGGGACTAGAGTAGGTGGCCTGGGAAGCTGGGGTGAATGTTGGAGGAACAGTGCGGTGTCCCCCCGCCCCTTCCATACTTCCCGCGGGCCTGCTCACCAGCTCCCTGTCCTCCTCCTCAGATCCCCATTAACTTCCCCGCCCAGGTCCCTGTTGCATCACCCAACACTGGTGAAAAAGGTGTAAGGCGCCGTTTCTCCTACCAACGGCCGCCATGGTTACGGTTGCGTGGTGACTACTCAATGTGGTGACTTTCGTCCTCTCCTCCAGAGTGGGAGCAGAGGAAGTTTTCCCCCAAAATACGAGGATGGGGGCCAAGCTTTCTCCAGAACACCCTTCCCTTGTCCAGCCCAGAACTACTCTCACCTCCGAAGTCCAGAAAAGCCGAAAAAGCCCCGGAAGAGGTCGAACAAGCTCATTCCCATGGCGGGCGCCGGACCCTTGAGACCCTCCCGCAGCCCATTCGCACGCAAACACAGCCGAGATACGCCACCGGAAATTGTGAGGCGTCCGCCAGCACTGTCGGAAAGCAAGCGCGGGGGCGCGGCATTATCGTAAAGCAGCCGCAAGGCGAACGAGCGAGGGAGGCGGGGCTGACCGGATGGAAAAGCTTGGTCGTTCCCCCTGCCCTGCGCTCTCCTGCGAGGTATCGGCCGGGCTCTCGCCGGCGGTTCACCTCCCTCTGTGTTTTTAGCCCAGCCGATCTGCTCGACAGGCGCTTCGGGTGGAGACCAGACGATTTCGCCAGAAGGCAGCCCTCACCTTACCAACAGACCTGTTTGAAACCCCTTTTACCCCACCGGCAGCCCCCGGGACGATGCCACAGGCCGCTACCCTCTAGACTTCTAGACGTTTGTTTTCTCCAGATTAACGTGGGTAACTTCAAATGTTAGATGGACTGAGTCTAACTAAAGCTCCTTCAAATACAAATTCAGAAGCACAGAATAAAGACAAGGGAACGCATGAATTCATTATTAGCTACTACGGAGTCATGACCATAAAGGATTCTTTAATATTTCCAAACAGGCTCCATAACCAGCAAGATAAAAAAATTATAAAAGCTTTATAAGTCAAGCAGGGATGTTACTCAAGCGTCCTAGAAAGGAACAAAGAATGTGAGGCTGTAAGATTTCCTCCTTCCAGCAAGTGTGATGGAATGTCTATAATCAACTACGGGGAAAGGAGGGTCTCCAGAGGCAGCCATATGGCCAGATCCCATTCTTAAAAATGACTTAGAAGGGGATGTGGCTCAAGCAGTTAGGGTGCCAGTCTACCAAGCCTAAGGTTCAAACCTAGTGCTGACTAAATCCCTTTTAATACTGATTTTCAAAGCCTCTCTTTGTACCCCATCCCAAACCCCATGTCTTGCCCTAGACTCTAATGCCTTTGCATGGGATTAGGTATATTTAAGCCACAGAAAAGTACTCAAGAAGCAAATATTTAGTATACTAGTGTCAGGAAGGACCCCAAATTTGTTTTGTCAGCCAACTGCAAATATTGCCCTCGAGTTCTTAGTTTTATTTGTCTGGAACCATCAAAGCCATACGTATGTATTTCAACTCCATAAAGCCATTTCCTTGAAATGTTTCTCAATTCTTCCACAATCCTCCCCCTTCCCATCCAATTTTCTATCCCTTCCCTTTATGGCCTTAACTTGCTGTAGATGTGGCAGTTTCTGGAGGCAATGAAGATTTGTGGTGATTCTTTCCAGTTGCACAGGTTGTGAAATTCTTAGGGGTGAAAGGAATCCCTTCACTAGCACATTAAGGTCAGAGGAGTTCTGAAAGGGCAAAGATTTCATTTTATTCCACTGCCTTCGGGACCTATTAGAGGCCCAGTTCGTACGGTAATACTTATTCACCAAGCTGGTCATCGACGAGACTGAGGATATCCTAGACGGAGCAAGAATGGGCAGAGGCTGAAGGTAGAGTTTTTGTTTTATATATACAAGACACATTAATCCATTAAATTTGAAGACACAGTACAAAAAAAAAACACTTCAACTAATTCATCTGACAATGCTGTTCATATTCATGACGCCATTTTTTGTTGTTTTGTTTTCCTAATAATAAAGGAGGAGACTTAGGGCTGTTGGGCTGATATATATTTCGGGGTCCCCCTCCCCACCTCACCCATACACCACCAGGGTGAACAGGAAGAAGGAAGGTCAGGGCCCATAGCAAAGTTTCATAATCTTGAATGCAAGGGGAGAGTAGGAAGAGGAAAAGGAAGGAAAAAAAAAAGAGAAAATACAAATCCTATAATACATACAACAGGGTGGGGATGGTATGGGAATGGGACAGACATGAAGCAGAGGCGTGGGGTGGGCCGCTGGGTGGGAGGCTGAAGAATCCCCCCACATTCCTTTCTCTCTTTGATGCTGTTTCCATAGTTTCCAGGCTGAGAAGCCCTCTCAGAAGATGGGACCGGGAGAAGAGGGCCAGGGCCTCAGTTGGCCCCCCAGCTGTAGCTGTTGTAGGCAGACTTGTTGGTCTGGGGCTTCTGCGGGATGGAGCTGGTCTGGCTACGTTGCCCGCTGCCCGTCTGCAGGGAATGGGAGGATGATGGGGAGGAAAAAGGTGTCTAGTTAGTGGGACCAATCTGTAACATCTTTAGGTGGAAATGTGCAAACTGTCTTGCTTTCTTATTCCCCTTACTTCAGACCTATATGAAATTAACTTCTGAACCATAGAAAATTGGACTCGATAGCTAGTAGAGCTCCTCTCTACAAGAACATAGTTAATGTTTAAACAGGGGAAAATGAAAAGAGGATAAGATATTTTTGCATTCTATCTTCTCTACCCCTCCCACTCATTCCACCCCTGGTCTGGAAAAAAAAAACAACAACCCACAACTGAGAATTATGGCCTCTTGGAGGTGAGTGATCACAAGGTGATTTTCATTGATCTCCATGAATGCCTCAATTTAGAAAGCCATCTTTGAAAGGAAAAAAAAAAGCCCTCATTCTAGCTCTCCAGCCACCTGTGATGGAGCTCTTGAGCAGACTCTTGCACCACCCTGCAGATCTACCCACCACCAACATCTGTGAGCCCAATTCAGGCAAAGCAAAAGAGAAGAGTCTGATGCTTCAAGCTCCAGATGCTGCCCCAAGAATCTTTTTCTGGTAACCCAGTGTTTTCCAGAGCTAAGGAAGGGGAAAGATAAAGAGGGTGTTGAGGAGGGGAGGAAGAAAGAGGATGGGGAGGCCAGAGAGCTCAGCAAAGTGTTTGTGTTTGTGTATCCTGTTTTGTGACCACTTAATCTTTTCTCTTCAAGTTTTCTGAGGCTGTGGAGGTGAAATGGGGACTAAAAAGGAGTGGGTTCAAGCATATCATTCAGTTTCATTACCTGCTCCTCCTGCTGGCGCTGGCAACAGAGAATCATCTGCAAATATGGTAGCTGAGGCAGAACCAGGATATATGGAAAATAAAGGGACAAACTTTGACAATAGAACTCCACCATTAGAAGGGAAAGCTACAATGTCAGGGAAGAGGGAAGGCTGGGAGAGGTAAAGGGAAGGTGTGACCCAGGTCTGATGGGATGAGGACAACTGTGCCATGGGAGGAGGTGGAGGAGAAAGGCATCAAAGGAACTGAGCAAAAAAGGTTTTAATCTGGCCCATTCTCTGACATTTCCCTTGCTGGCTGCTCATGTTATGTGCGCTTGTGTCTGTATGTGTCGTGTGCCCCTGGCTGGCACTGGGGAGGATTGGGTGAAGGTGGTGGTAAGGAAGGGTAAGAAAAGGAAAGGGGAGGTAGTTTTAAGGGATAGGAAGGAAGAGGAAGGGAAAGGAGAGAGGGGGAGGGCTGTTACCTGGCCATCCTGCTGCAGGTGATGATGAAGGATCTGGGAATGCGGCTGCTGATGGGGGGTCAGAATGTGCATAAAGGGGGCAGGTGGGTAGGCAGCAGCTGTGGCCGGATTTATGGGCCCTCCACTTCCTAGGGCTGAAGGCAAGTTGAAGGAGGCAGCGGGAGTACCGGAATGAAATCCTTGTTTCTCAAAGGACTGCTATCCAAGCAAAGAGTAAATAAAAGGGATCAACAAAGGAAATCCGGGTACTTCTAAGCCCAAAGTTCCCTACCCTCAGAAGGAACAGTGCACTTGAAGTTAAGATATTCAAATCGCCAGTTCTACCTCTGTGCATTAATACATCATGATTGTAGGCAAAATATGGTCTCTTAAGCCTAAGTTTCCTCACTTAAAAAAAAAAAAGGACACTACTGACCTTTCAATTATAAGGATCAAAAAGGAGGATGAACATGAAAGAACTCCTTAAAATCTAATGCTATATATGAATATATAGAAATGTGTGAACTCCTCTTAGCCTTCCTGCCCCAGTAGTTGGGTAGAAATTAGAATTCAGATAGTTCAAAGGAAATGAATAGGGTTTAGCATGGTGGCCCAAGATTAAGAAGGCCAGCCCAGGCAAAATGTTAAGACTCAAGTCTCAAAAAAAAAAAAAAAAAGGCCACAAAGGGTGGTGATACTTGGGAAGTGAAAGGAGGACTATGGTTAAGGTCTGCCTAGGAAAAGCTCTGAGAACCTACCTGGAAAACATGAGAAAGCAAAAGACCAGTAAGGTCTTGCCTATGAACTCCCTCCACGTTCCTAATACTTCACAACAAACTTATTTATGCTAACTGGGGAATAAACATTAAGAATTACACCCAGCGCTGGTGGCTCACACCTGTAATCCTTGCTATCAGGAGGCTGAGATCTGAGGATCATAGTTCGAAGCCTGCCAGGGAAGGAAGTCTATGAGACTCTGGTTAACTACCAGAAAACTGAAGTGGTGCTGTGGCTCAAGTGGTAGAGCACTGGCCTTGAGCTGAAGAGCTCAAGGACAGCACCTAGGCCCAGAGTTCAAGCCCCATAACTGACCAAAAAAAAAAAAAAGTGAATAACGCAGTAACAATGTCTCATTTTCTTTTCCCACCACCAGCTTTTTGTCATGGGTTTACTCACAAAGAATGGAATGAACCAGTTTCTTTTTATTTTCTGCATTTGTTCCCTTGGAAAGTGAGGAGAGGTTGGAATTGGATAGGTAAAAGGGTCGAGACAGTCGCCCAGTGACAAGTTTCAAGTTACAGGACTCACCTACCTGTTATGTTTCTCATTTTTTTTCTGTGAGCTAAATTTAAACTCCTAGAGAAGCTAGTCTACAGATCATTCATTTAGAAAAGTTAGACTGGGTTTCTGACCTCTCCAACTGTTCTTGCCCACTTTTTTTTTTTGCCTTGCTAGCCCTGGGCACTCAGGGCCTGGGCACTGTACTGCGCTTCTATTGCTCAAGGCTAGCACTACCATTTCAGCCACAGCACCACTTCTGGCCTTTCTGTTTATGTGATACTGAGGAATCAAACCCAAGGCTTCATGCATGCTAGGCAAGCACTCTACCACTAAGCATATCCCACTCCCTTGCCCATTGTTTTTCTATAATTGCAACTGCACTGCCTCTAAGACCATCTCTCCTTTTTTTACTTCCATCCAAGCCAGGCACCTACCTGGGTTTTGGAGTACACAGAACCCGAGATATCTGGCACGCCTGTGTTACTGGAGGTGACTGATACACCTAGGGGAGGAAAAAGACATGATTAGCTCAGCTAGCTGCCTGGCCCCTATTCCCAAGATGAAGTGATATCTGTGGCCTTTGTAGCAACAGCACTGCAAGGGAATTTCACTCTGATTTTCTCAAGTTAGTTCTGAGATATAAGAATTCATGACACAAAGGCTCCATGGTCTTTTGACTTTTGGAGCATATGCACAAGTGAAGTGAGTTTAAAAATTTTTTTTTTTAGAACAAGATGACATTTTTAATAGCTCATTAGTACTTATTGATTTTGAATCACTTCAAAGCCAAAGAAGATATAACAAATTTAATATCCATTTCAAATAAACTCTATCTAATCAATCTTGACCTTGAAAAGTAGGGTAGACTGGTCGTCTATTCTGAAGAGATAAAATTTGGGGCTCAAAATCCACACCTTCACAGAAGGTTAAGTAACAGAACAGTCCAATTTAGTGCTCAAGAGCACTCTTACTCTCACCAGAGAGCCTTAGCTCACTTAGTGATGGAGCTTGTAAGCTATATCCTAATGATTTAAAGGGCTAATACAAAGATGAATTTCCAATTTCCAATACAACTCAAGCACTATGGGGAAAAAGGAAAGAGAAAGGGATAGTAGCCCATGTGGAACATAAAAAATGTCATTTCAGTTACTTTAGCTTCTCCATGAAATAAAAGCTCAAATCCATAACACAACTCACATTTCCTGTTAAAATTTCCCTCCTAACAATTTAAGACAATCAGAGTAGTAAACCCCTCATTTTAATTTATTCTCAAACTAAAATATAGATTACACTCTTCCTCCTGAGAAATAAAGCAATGGGCTAAGGAGATAAGCTACAGGATAAAGAATTTACAATCTCTCTTGAGACACTTTAAACAGATTTGCAAAATAAGTGATTGAACTAAAACTTGAACTATAATTTTAAAAAGATACATTAGGGGATGGGAATGTGACTTAGTGGTAGAGTGATTGCCTAGCATGCATGAAGCCCTGGGTGCAATTCCTCAGTATTACATATACAGAAAAAGCCAGAGGTGGCACTGTAGCTCAAGTGGTAGAGTATTAGTCTTGAGCACAGCAGAGCCAAGGTCCAGAGTTCACATCCCAGGACTGGTTTAAAAAAAAAACAAAAAACAGGGGCTGGGAAGGTGTCTCAGTGAGGAGTGCTTGCCTTACATGATGAGATCCACGGTTCAATTCCTCAGCACCACATAAGCCAAAAAAGCCGGAAGTGGGCTGTGGCTCAAGTGGTAGAGCGCTAGTCTCAGCTAAAGAGCTGAGGGACAGTGCTCAGGCCCAGAGTTCAGGCCCCACAACCAACGAAAAACAAAATAAAGAAAGAAAGGAAGAAAGAAAGCTGGGTGCTAGTGGCTTACGCCTGTAATCCTAGCTACTCAGGAGGATGAGATGAGATCTGAAGATTGTGGTTCAAAGCCAGCCCGGGCAGGAAAAGTCTGCGAGATTATCTCCAATAAACCACCAGAAAAATGGAAGTGGTGCTGTGGTTCAAGTAGTAGAGAGCTAGCCTTGAGCTGAAAAGCTGAGGGTCAGCGTCCAGGCCCAGAGTTCAAGCCCCACAACTGACCAAAAAAAAAAAAAGTCACATTTGTGCTTTGTGGCCTTAGACCCTACCTTCCAGAGGTACTCTCCTCTAATATTAGTAACACTGATGGAAAAGTGTTTAGAAGCCCTGGTCCTAGTGGCCCAATTACAAGTGAGGAGTCCCCCATTCACCCACAATTCAACAGCAGTCCTTCAAACTCCAGGACCCAAATCCAACCAATGTTCAGGACAAATGCTGCCTTCAAAAGTCATGTTCATCTGGAATAATGACCTTAGAATCTTCCCAATAAAAGTGGCATCTTGGGGGGAGAGGGAATTGAGGTTTAAGCTTAATAGTAGAGCACTTGTCCAGTGTGAGGCAGTGGGTTTGATCTCTAGCACAAAAAGGGGGGGAAAAAAAAAAAAGAGCATCTTAACTTCCCACATGCTAAAATCCAATTATTTATTTATTTGGCCTAGGGACTAAACTCTGGATCTGGGTGCTGCTCTTCAGCTCAAGGCTGTGATCTACCACTTTAGCCACAGTGCCACTTCTGGCTTTTTCTGCTTATGTGATACTGAGGAATCAAACCCAGGGTGCCAAATGCATGCAAGGCAAGCACTCCTATCACTGAGTCACCTTCCCAGCCCTAAAATCCAATTTTAAAGGGAAACAAATATAAACTATGAAAAAGAACAGAACTATAAGTTAGACATGGTGGCACACTCCTGTAATTCCAGTACTTGGGAGGCAGAAAGATTTTAGTTCAAGACTAGCCTGGGCCTATACACAGTGAAATACTGTCTCAAAAAAACAAAACTACAGAAATCAGAGAAAAAGACTTCCCAACTTCAAAGTAACATGTATACTTTAAATGCACTTAATGGGAATGATACAACAAAACTCTGAAGGACCTTAGGAGAACTTTTTTCCCTTTCCCCCTTTTTTTCCTTTCCCAGCTGACCTTCTGGCAAAACACTGGGAGTTCAGTTATTGAAAAAGCTAAAGTTAATATTGTTTGTGTGGAAGGGTTAAAATAGAAGGTGGAACACACAAACTATAAATGGGACATTTATTTAAAGATAAATCCAGAGATAACAATCTATCTACACTTGATCTATATACAGTGATCTATCTATCAGTTAGGTACCCTTTGCAAAGTTGAGACTAGGTTGCCTACAGAGAAGAGAATTAACTAACCGGATCCTCAAGCTGGGTGGAAGGGGAAATTAGGTTCTAATATGCCCCTGCCCCTATCTTGTCTTATAAATACCAGTTTCTAGTCCACAAGACTTAAATTGAATATAGGGTTGAAGAGACTGTAAATGCAGGAAAAACAAATAGTAACCATAAACATTAAGAGAACCTAGAAGTAGTTGTTTCTCTACTTTCTTCCAACATCAGAATGTCCTGCCTATTTCCATCCTTAAACAGTAATATCATTCCAATACAATATGAGTGATTGAGAGGAGAATTAAGACTCCATCTCTTCTATTACAGCAGTCCACAGAAAAAGTTGGTCACCCTCAACAGGATGAAATTATTCCAGAGGGCTGTGGAGAAATAATTACAAGGAAATCTGAGTAGTATGATTTCTAGTTAACTAATAGTGATGGTCTCATTGCTCAAGTAAACTAAAAATAAAGGATTGGTGGTGTATTAGTGAGTAGACTTAGTAGGGACTAGAATTTCCAGTCAGGATGTCTGCCCAAACCTCTCTTATGCATCCTTACTACACACACAAGTACAAAACAACTAATAAACAAGAATCTCTGAGAAGGCATCAAAGAACTGAGAACCATGTTCTAGGTGAGCTAGCTGGCAATGTTCCAAAGCCTGAATCATCAACTAAGTGATTAGTTATGATTTTATCAGATCTCAATTAGCCAATCTGTCTTTGGGAACTAGATGTAGAAATGAAGCCTTGGAAGATAGTTCCTAACAGATTTGAACACCATCTCTGCCTTTCACCATGACATGGCACTCTAAACTTTTTTGTCCCTTCCCCTCTGCACTTGTCACAGGCAAAGGGAAGATCTAGATAGAAGAGTGAAGACATTTAAGCAGGAGGAGTTGAGTTTGTTTACACCTACTTTCTTTACCAGCCAATCAACAGCTGGAGACTGAGGCTACTCCCCTCCCCACACCCGCCCTTAAAAACCACTGCACCGGAAAACTAAAAGCTCTTTGGCTATGCTAGCATTTGACTGAAAAGACCACCCTCCACCCTTCATCCACAGCATAAATTGGTTCCTAGTGTCCAGAAAGACATTCACGGAAAGAACGCCAGAGTTAGCTAAAGAAATACCACAGTTTATTGAAGACTACAAATATTTTTGTTACAAGTTGGAACTACATGCCTTCCAGAAATCAAAAGCAACAGCAGGTGTGTGCATTGATGTTTCAGAGGTGTTGCACCGCTTGGACTCAAAATGGGTAAGACAGGGTCAGACACATGGGGGAAGAGGGAAATGGGGGAGAGGCAAGTTCAAAAGCCCAGAAGGTATCCACCAACTCATTTTCCCCAAGCCACGCAGGCCATGGCCTCAGCTCAGCAGGCTCTCCTCAGTGGTTTGGTTTCTGAAACAAGACTTCAGTGCAAATTTATACACACACATAAAACACAGCCCCCAGCCTTGGGCCAAATTAGCTCTCAGCCGTCCAGAAATGCTTGTAAGGGGGTGGATATTTTCTTCCTAAAAGGAATCAAATACACAAAAATATATGAATTTAGAGGTTGATGAAGAATAGAATAAGAGCCCTCTGTGGGGTTGGGAACTAGGGAAGGGGGTTCTCAAAAGGCTATTATAACAGCTTTCTGAAATCTTAAGGGAAGTAAGAAGTTAGGATATCCAGAATTGGACAGTCCAACTCTCATACTGTCAACTATTAACTCTTAAAATTCTTTTTTTTTTTGGTTGGTTGTGGGGCTTGAACTCTGGGCCCGGGCTCTGTCCCTGAGCTCTTCAGCACAAGGCTAGTGCTCTACCACTTGAGCGATAGCGCCACTTCCAGCTTTTTCTGCTTATGTGGTGCCAAGGAATTGAACCCAGGGCCTCATGCATGCAAGGCAAGCACTCTACCACTGACCCACCTTCCCAGCCCCTGGGTATTAAATTTCAATGGGGCTTCCAAAGATTTTCAAAATTACAATCATGACATTAATCAGATAACAATTAAAAAGATCTACCTGTCTATTAATATCTAGACCTATCAGCTTAAACTAATTATTGAAAACCATGGGTGAGGGTTTTTTTTTGTTTTTGTCGGTTGTGGGGCTTGAACTCTGGGCCTGGGTGCTATCCCTCAGCTCTTCAGCTCAAGGCTAGCATTCTACCACTTGTGCCAAAGCACCACTTCCGGTTTTTTCCTCTGTTTATGTGGTGCTGAGGAAGCATACCCAGAGACTCATACATGCAAGGCAAGTACTCTTCCACTAAGCCACCTTCCCAACCTGGGTGAGGTTTTTAATACCCTGCCAGAGCTTACATGAAGGTGGAGAATATAAATGCTACTTCTTCCAAATTGCCATGAAACTAAGTTAAGTTTTAAGGATAATTCTCAACCTCTAGTAGTAGCAGCAATATTCTTCCCCATATTCACCTAACAGTCACACACAAAAAAAGTGGATGGAATTATGCCCAAACTCCTATACTTACATCTACCCTGCTAAAGTGAATCACAAATGTCAGGTATGAAAACAAGGCAAAGGGGCTGGGAATGTAGCTTAGAGTGCTTGCCTAGCATGGATGAAGCACAGGGCTCAATTCCTCAGTACCACATAAACAGAAAAGGCCAGAAGTGACGCTGTAGGTCAAGTGGCATAGTACCAGCCTAATGCAAAAAGCTCAGGACAGTGCGTAGGCCCTGAGTTGAAGCCCCAGAACTGGTCAAAAAAACAAAACACAAAAAAGAAAACACAAAAAATAAATAAGGCATAGTGTACATATCTTTATTGTACATATGGAGAGGATTCCTATATTACCCTTCCTCTTAGATGTGCAAATAGGCTTTACAAGACCAGCATACAAATGAAGGAATTGAAGGCTCCAATTCTCTCAGTCCAATTCTCACTCTACTGAGTATTCATGTCTACTCCTTTCTGTCAGTATATTAGGTTTTCTAGCCAAGGACCAAAAAGAGTCATATTTAAAAACTTAAGCCAAAGTTTATCATAGCCTGTTAGCTAAGAAGACATTAAACTCTTCTTTTAGTATTCTAGTATCATCAGTATCATACAAGTTAACACTTGCCTCCACTGACATCTAAGCAAAATTTTGGGGTTCAAAACTCAAGTCAGTCCAAATATTTTAATAACCAACAAATAACCCTTGAGCACTCCCCTCAATTATGAATTATGAAATGTGTCAGTATCAAGTTCTGTTGGTGCTGCTCCCAGAAACTCAAGTCAGCCAAGCACTAACAATCATTATGTAGAGAACAGCACCCTCACCAACCCCGTTTTACCAGGAATCAAGTCTTTTTCCTAAAGTTCATTCAGTAATTAAGCCAGGGCCACGGGGGAGCTTACCAGTGTTGTATCCATGAGACCCATATCCACTTGGCTGTTGGAAAGGGGTGGCTGATGCATTCACACTGACATTCACACCATGCTGCTTAGAAGAGGTAGGAGCCACCTGAAGGGAAAAAAGGCCAGAACTTCAATGAAATGGCAGATACTGTCTGTCCCCAATGTCCTAACTCCAGGGACTGGGCATTATGAGGTAAGGTTAGCTGGACTCCCCTCTTTAAGCCAAAGAGTAGGTAACTCCTCTTCTGATTATCAGCAATTCAAGTTCCACTCCCCCTTCCTAGACCAGAAACAGACCAAAGGTGCCAACTGTTTCTCCTCATTCATTACCAAAGAGTCACCTAGCTTGAAAGCAACTAGGATAGTGTTCAGGGCTGAGATCCTTCACTACAAGGAAACTAAAACTAGGTACTCACAGGGAACACAGCAGGCCCATACTGGAAGGTGCTGGGGAGGCCCGGGACCCCTGTATAGTATGGCAGGCTGGTATAACTGTAGCCAGGAGGCAGCGCCGGATTCAGGAATGTCTGCTGCGTGGTGTGGTGAGTCTGCGTCTGGTTCTGTTGGGGCTGGGCCAATGTTGTGGCTGGAGCTGGAGAGGAGGCATCCCCACGGCCAAACTTGGTGAGGTCACCTGTGACAAGAGAAGCTCACTGTACATCTTTTACCACAATACCAACGCAGAATTACTGGTCTCATCTCACATCATTCTAGAAGATCATATTCAAAGACTCAAGTTCAATTTCTTAAACTATATGTTTTTTTTTTATAGCTCCATTTTGAACTGTTTAGCATATACTTAACACAGCAGAAGTCAAGACTAATGTTGAGGGCTGAGGACATGGTTAAATGATATAGCACTAGGCCCTAGATTCAAATCCTAGCTCAAAAAAACCCCCCAAATCAAAGGAATAACCCCTACCCCCCCACTAATGTTGAATAACTACAATGTTATGCAGTGGGAGGTTCCTAGAACAAAGTTGTTACATAGTTTCTCTGCCAGCTTATTTTGTTTCATTTCCATCCCCTTTCTTCCCATCATATCATCATCAGGCTAGACTTTAAGGACAATGTCAGACCACAGAAAATAAAGTCAGCGATAACTACAGGGAGGCAAAAAAAAAAAAAAAAAAAAAAGAGGCTCAAAGCCTAATAATGAAATAAAATTACCACTGTAAAGTACAGTGAGCAGAGAACATGGGCTAATTCAACCAATGAACCCTCTAGAAAAAGGTGAGAATGGCTGGGTTCAATCCCCAGTACATACACACACACACACACACACATACACACCCACACACTCTCTCTCTCTCCCAGGATGATGAACCTACTAACACACACACACACAACCTGCCACACACACACACACACACACACACACTCTCTCTCTCCCAGGATGATGAACCTACTAACACACACACACACAACCTGCCACACGCCCATCTTTAGCAGGATGATGAACCTAAATCCCTGATTTGCCACATCTCTTCTACATGTCTACTGACGACCTTTACTTATGGCAGGAACTGAATGGGTCCCTTCTCACTATTAATCAGGTTTCTGCCAATATATTTCCCTTTATTAATCACTATCCCAGTCCTACCAGAATAAGGATTGCTGGCCAGGCTACCATCCCTTCCAGTCAGTGGAGTGGTAGGTGTGGGAAATGGGATACTGTAGTAGTCCTAGACAGAGAAATAAAAAAGCAGAGATTTAATGTCATTCATTTTCCAGCCTGAGAACCACAGGTGAATGTTGGAGTACTGCAATTTATCAACCCACTGATTAAGCTGATAAGAGAAGGCATGAACTCCAATTACTCTGGCATACACTGTCCCCCCTACCTGACCATGATCTGAGTAAGGCAAGGTCTACGGATATGCCTTTTGGAGAACACATCAACAAACAACATTTTTAAGCCTCCTCATATAATAGCTGTAAATCTACACAAAATTATTTCAAGAGGTATTTTCCCTACACTCTACAATCTTAAGTGCACGTCCAATAGAAAGCCTACTATGCTACTCAGGAGACTTGAGATCTGAGAGGATTATAGCTAGAAGCCAGCCCAGGCAGGAAAATCCTTGAGACACTTATCTCCAATTACCCATCAAAAAGCCCAAAGTGGTGCTGTGGCTCAAAGTGGTAGAGGACTAGCCTTGAGCAAAAGAGCTCAGAGACAGTGTCCATGCTCTGAGTTGAAGCCTCACTACCTACCAAAAACAAAAACAAAGGGCTGGGAAGCTGGCTCAGTGGTAGAGCACTTGCCTTGCATGCCTGAGGCCCTGGGTTCGATTCCTCAGAAGTGGCGCTGTGGCTCAAGTGGTAGAGCGCTAGCCTTGAGCTGAAGAGCTGAGGGACAGCGCCCAGGCCCAGAGTTCAGACCCCACACACACACAAAAAAAAAAAAAAAAAAAGGAAGAAAAAGAAAAGCAAAGGAGAAAGTGAGAGAAGTGGTAATGGCAGGGGGAAGGAAAGGAAGATAGAGAAGAGAGAGAAAGGAAAGGAAGAGAAGAAGCAAGGCCAGGGACATGGTACACGCCTGTAGTCTCAGCTACTGGAAAGTCTGACACAGGAAGATCCACTTGAGCCCAGGAGTCTAGGTAACATGAGAATACTCTATCTATTTTTAAAAAGGGAAAAGGAGAGTAAAGAGTAAAGTGTTCAGCAGAAGATCACTTGTCTGGTCAAAGTCCTGGGTTTCAACCTCAAGTATTACAAAAAATAAAAGTAGAACAGGAAACTGATATTAATAAGAAGTATATGAATAGTGATTAGTCCATTTAAGCTGTAGGATATACAAAGTGGCAGATTGTGCTTAGCAGATGTGATGCACTAGATTTCATCCCAGCACCACAACAAAACAACACACTTTCAAGATATATTAGAATAAAGGGATTTTTTTTTTTTGTGCCAGTCCTGGGGTTTAAACTTAGGGCCTGAGTACTGTCCCTAAGTTTTTTTGGCTCAAGATTAGCACTCTACCACTTAAGCCAGAGCTCCAGTTCCAGCTTTTTCTGCTTATGTAGTACTGAGGAATCGAACCCAGGGATTCATGCATGCTAGGCAAGCACTCTACCACTAAGCCACATTCCCAGCACCAAATATAGGAATTTATAGGAGTAGTTTTAACAGAAGGACAAATCAGGAACTAGATAGTTATGTAACATCAATTGAATGTGTGAGATAATCCTTCCAATTTTAATTTTTAATGTTCTTTCCAAGGCTCTACTCACATACTCACCAATGGAAATCTCGTCTGAAGCATTTGCAAGTCATCATAACCATAGACCTGTGGCTGAAAAATAAAGACATGTAACAGTATTAATGAGCACTGGTCATGATGGTAACAAAAGAAACAGAAAGGTATTTCAATACAACATTCATTCTCATTCTTCGAACAAGACACAAATTATTTCCTTTAGTTTTAAGTAGGAAAAAAAAGTACAAAGAGTTTATCAAAAGATCAATGGAAAAGTTTTTGAAGCTTTCATGATCTACATACAACTGATTCAAACTAGGCTAGCCTCTGGGTACCAGTAGGGGAGACACAAGTACATAATAAACAGCCGGCTTTACTTTCTATTCTAGTAGTCTCTTGTCTTCAGTCTTCAAAATCTGGATTAAAGATAAAAATATTATTAAAAAAATTTTTTAAAAATCTAGCTTAAAATTTATCTCCTTTTGGAAGGATTTGATTTATTTATTTATGTATTTATTTATTTATGTCAGTTGTGGGGTTTAAACTCTGGGATTGGGCGTTCTCCCTCAGGTCTTCAGCTCAAGGCAAGCGCTCTACCACTCGAACCACAGCACCACTTCAGTGTCCCTTCCAGTTTTCTGGTGGTTAATTGGAGTCTCAAGGGCTTTCCTGTCTGGGCTTACTTTGAACCATGTTTCTCAGATTTCAGTCTCCTGAGAAGGTAGGATTATAGGCGTGAGCCACTGGCACCCGGCAGGATTCGTATTTTACTATTTTTTTCCCTCCAATTTTTGGGCACTAAGTGTTAGTGCTTAAAAAATGTATAATAGTGTTACTTGGGCATTTTATCTGTATGATGTTTACTTAGATTTCTTCTCCAAGGACAAAAACAGGTGTCTTAACTATCCTATTGTTTTGGTTTTTTTTTTTTTTTTTGGTGCTGGTTCTGAGACTTGAACTCAGAGCCTAAACTTTGCTGAAGGCCATTGTTCTACCACTTGAGCCATAGCTCCACTTCTGGCTTTTTGGTGGTTAACTGGAGATAAGAGTCTCAAGGACTTCTGTGTTCAGGCTAGCTTTGAACCATGACCCTCAAATTTCAGCCTCCCCACAGGCACCCAGCTACTCTTCATCTCAATAGGTACTAAATACAAGAAGACCAGGGCAGAAGCCATTTATTCTCAGGATAGAGAACTCAGTTGTTAGTAAGGTCAGAGCCAGCAAAAGATCGACACAATTAGGGAATTGATGCAAGTATAAAAAAATAATTCTCTAAGAAGCAGTCTAACCTTTGGGAATTGAGATCCAAAATTTGTACTTCACATACAGTAAGTATACAATAGAGGAAGCTCCCTTCTGAAAACTAGTTTTTCTCCAACACTACAAAGATTAAAAACCTGTTTACTTATATGTGACAAGTATTCATTTATTCTGTAATTACAGTCTTCCACCTGAAGGCAGAGCTATGAAGAGTAGACACACCATCTTCCCCTTGTGAAGACCCTTCTGTCTCACTTACTGGGTAGGCATGTAACAGCCCAGGAGCCATAATATATGGATTAGGCAACAACGGCGGAACCCCAGGAGGAAGGTTGGGAGGAGCTTTTCCTAAAAGAGAAATAACATTTTTATACTGCCACATAATTACTTACCTCTTCCATCCCAGAGGACTGCCACCCACCTAGAAAAGACTACCTGAAGTCGTAGCAACTGAGCTTCGAGTTGAGGCTGTGACGGTGGAGTTGCTGCCTAAACTGAGACCCAGACTACTGCCACTATTGAGACTGGAGGAGACACTGACCACTGGGGGAGGTGCAGAGACTGTGCTGGATGTGGTAGAGAAAGTGCTGGAGGAAGAATGGAGATTCGCCTCACTTTCCACACTTGTGTGCTTCAAAAACAGGGAGCAGTGGAATAGAGAGGGCAACAGTTAGTAACAGAGGTCAGCAAAGATAAATACATCATAGCCTTCATTACCAAACTTTCCTTCATTAAGTCCTATAAAATGAGTTACTAGTTCATGAGCAAGGAAAAGGATAAGATCTGACTTTAAACTTAAAATTATGTATCTGAGGAAAAAGAGACTCCTAAACAAGTTTTACCTTCAGATCTTTCCCCAAGCAAATGTCCTTAACTCAGCTTAACTCCAGAAATAGATGTTATATTTTGCAATCAATTCTTTGACCAAAAGCTCTACCCTGACCTCTGCTTTATGCTTTAATTTGGGGGAGGGGAGGGGCAAACACTGGGGGGGTTGAACTAGACCTGGGCACTGTCCCTTAGCTTTGTGTCTCAAGGCTAGTCATCTACCAGTTGAACCACAGCACCATTTCAGGTTTTTTGGTGGTTAACTGGAGCTACGAGTCTCACTGACTTTTCTGCCTGGGCTGGCTTTGAACCATAATCCTCAGGTATCAAACTCCTGAGTACCTAGAATTGTAGATATGAGTCACTGATGCCCAGCTGACTTTTGAATTTTAAGCTCTGCAGTATTTCTGGTTTCTATGGCTTCTCTTTGCCTCCCAGCACCGCTCCTTTGTCCTATAATCTCAATTCAGTAAATGTACAAAGTCACAAAGGAAATTTCAACAATTCCCTCTGAGAACCTTGGGGTTGGATGTTAAAACTCTAAGAACCATTCATTGCTTCTCACTATGTCATACTTACCAAAAGAGTGGATGTTGAAGTGCGCCCAGAAGATGTTGATGATGATAAGGTATTCGGCTGCGTAGATAATGTGCTATAAGGATAAAGAGATTGACATCAACAAAAGTGTTATGGCTACCTGACCCATGGTGCTTACATAAAGACAGAATACAGAAGTTAAGGAGGTATAAGATCATACAATAAACAAAAGGCAGGTATAATAAGCACTTAAAGCAAGAGCTGATGTTGAAAGGGGAAAATAAGTATTCATCTGTTATCATTTCAAATAACTTGTAGGTCACCCATTTAACACAAAAAGAAAGGCTAATGTGGTCTCTATTATGTAGATGGCATAAGACAGGACCACAGAGCCCTGTTATTGAAACTCACCAACCTCAACCTCTATCCTCACCCCAAATCACCTGTTGTGTTGCGTGGTGGTGGTATTTGTAATCTCCTCACTGTGGCTTAACCCACCCAACGAGGATGAGTGCTGATTGGTTGTGGTCAGTAAGGAAGCTGCAGATACCGTTTCATTGAGAGGGGGGATACTAGAAGTAGAAGGTGAGTCAGATTTCACTGCAGAGCCTGTAGCACCTAAAAATGAAAAAGGACTATCAGGGGAAAAGAACTATTTTATTTATTTATTTTTGGGTCCGGTCGTGGGGCCTGGGCCCTGTCCCTCAGCTCTTCAGCTCAAGGCTAGCGCTCGACTACTTGAGCCACAGCATCACTTCTGGCTTTTTGCTTTTATGCTTATGTGGTGCTGAGGAATCGAACTCAGGACCGCATGCAAGCAAGGCAAGCACTCTACCACTGAGCCACTTTCCCAGACCCTATTTTTATTTTTTTTGATAGGTTGTGGGCCTGGGCACTGTCACTGAGCTTTTCAGCTCAAGGCTGGTGCTCTACCACTTGAGCTACAGCACTACTTCCAGTTTTCTGGTGGTTAATTGAAGAGTCTCACAGACTTTCTTGCCTGGGCTAGCTTTGAATTGTGATCCTCAGATCTCAGCCCCCTTAGTAGTTAGGATTATATGTATGGACCACCCACATGGCAGAAATGAACTATTTTAAAAGCAAAATGTAACTACAGTCCTAAATGAGATTGGGTTACACAGTAGAAAACTGTCTCTTAAAAAGAGAGGTGGTGGGCTGGGAAAGTGGCTCAGTGGTAGAGTGCTTGCCTTGCATGCATGAGGCCTTGGGTTCGATTCCTCAGCACCATAAGCACAAAAAGCTGGAAGTAGTGTTGTAGCTCAAATGGTAGAGTGCTAGCCTCAAGCTGAAGAGCTGAGGGATAGCATCCAGGCCCAGAGTTCAGGCCCCACGACTGCCAAAAAAAAAAAAAGGGGTGGCCAGAGCTGGGAACGTGGCTGAGTGGCAAAGTGCTCGCCTAGCATGCATGAAGCCCTGGGTTTGATTCCTCAGTACCACATAAGCAGAAAAAGCCAAATGTGACACTGTGGCTGAAGTGGTACAGTGTTAGCCTTGAGCAAAAGCTCAGAGACAGGACCCAAGTCCTGAGGTCAAGCCCAAGGACTGGCAAAAAAGTAAAAAGAAAAAAAAAAAAAGAGGCAACAATATTGAAAGTGTTTGAAGCAAGGTGAAGCAATGATTCAGGGCTGTAATCTTAGTTACTTGGGATGCTGAGAATGAGAGGATTGTAAGACTCCTTAACCCACTACTGGTTCAATGACACATGCCTGTCATTCTCTGCTATTAGGGAGACTGGAAAATTTTGGTTCCAGGCCAGCCTAAAAAAGTACCTAGCGGGGCTAGGAAGGTGGCTCAGTGGTAAAGCGCTTGCCTTGCATGTATGAGGCCCTGGGTTCAATTCCTCAGCACCACATAAGCAAAAAGAAAAAAGCTGGAAGTGGCACTGTGGCTCAAGGGATAGAGCTAGCCTTGAGCTGAAGAGCTGAGGGACAGCGCCCAGGCCCAGAGTTCAGGCCCCACGACCGGGCCCCCCCCCCCAAAAAAAAAAGAAAAAAGAAAAAGTACCTAGACTCCATATCAAAATAAGGAATCTGGATTCACTGGCAAACACCTGCCATCCTAGCTATGATGGGAATCCCAAAATATATGCATTATAGCCCAAGTATACACCTGAGCAAGAAGCAACTATCTATCAAAAATGCCCAGCAAAAAACATGGCTGAAAGTATGGCTCAGCAGTATCACACCAGCCTAGAAAGCAAGAGTCCTTGGGTTCAAAACTGCAGTACTACCACCAAAAAAAGAAAAAACTGACACAGGAAGAAAAACACTAAGAAAAAGCCTAGAGAATACCTACCTTCAACAGATTGCGTGGTCTGTAACTGCGTGGCCTGCACAGAACTGAAGCCATTCTGGTATGAGAAAAAAATAGGAATAAGAACAAACTCACAGGTAAAAGAAATTGGCAATCACACAGCTTAGTTAATCCTTTTAGAACAAATGCCTAGGTAACCAAAGGATCAATACAGTGATACAAAATAACTAAAAATGAAAACCAGACAATTACAGAAAGCACTTGAGTGACTTAGAGCAACAACTAAATAGGTGAAGTTATCCAAACCTAAAACTAATTTAGGAAAGGCACAAAGTCTAAATCCAGCAATCACTGTGGAAGGTTCTAAGACTAAGAGCCAAATCATCTATCCTGACCACTGCATCTGGTAATTGCTCCGTATCAGCTCTGGTATACACTAGCCCTCTCACCAACAAGCAGACAAACCAAGGTAAGATGTACTGATACGTTCTATGAAATCTAACAATGAGACCTTCCAAGAGAAAACGGGTATTTGAAATCCATTCTGTAAGACACAATCTATACTGTAAAGAGAATGGTTTTTGGCTGAGTCTCCAGGTTTGTTTAGGAAAAAATATTGCTAATCTCAGAAGTGTTTTGTTTGTTTTTTTAAATGGCTGGTCCTGGGTGTTATCCCTGAGCTTTGTGCTCAAGGCGAGTATTCTGCCACTTGGGCCACAGCTCCACTTCCGGTTCTTTTTTTCCCCCCAGTTTATTGGAGATAAAGAGTCTCACAGACTTTCTTGCCCAGGCTAGCTCTAAACCATGATCCTCAAATCCCAGCCTCCTCAATAGCTAGGATTATACAGGTGAGCCACCAGCACCTGGCTTATTTTTCTATCCTTATTTTAAAATTTTCAGCCAACATTCCTAAAGTTTCTTAAATTTGCACCTAACGATAGGCTCCAGGCAAGGTTGTAAGTAAAATATTTAAGAGACCTTGGCATTATTTTCAAAATAAATGCTAAGAGGCTTGTGAAATTAGTACCTTTGCCTGAGTCAAGTCCTTTTGGGGTGATGAAGAGATGGAGCTGGGGTACCGCCGAGTCTGTGTGGATCTCTGTTCATATAGAGGGCCCTGAGCATTATTTTGGGAGGTATAGGTTGTCGACTGAATTGGGCCACTCTGATAACCAGACTCCTGACTCTGGTTAGATGAAATTGTAGATGAAGATTCACTGTGAAAATGAAAAGAAGAGAATCTCAGAAACACAGTAGATGCACTAATACTATGGAAGTAGAAACAAATAACAACAGTGTAAGTTAGGCACAGGTGAGCTCAAGCCTGCAATCCTAAACTATGTGGGAGGCAGACATCAGAGAATCATGGCTTGAGGCTAGCCCAGGAAACAAAAAGTTCACAAGACTCCAACTCAGGCATACACCTGTTCACCCAGTTAAAGGAGAATCACAGTGCACCTATTATCCCCAGTGACACAGGAACCAGAAGTAGGAGGATCAAAGCCCAAGGCAGGTTTGGCATAAAGAAAGATCCTACCTTGAAAATAACCAATGCAAAGAGGCTGGAGGAGAGACTAAAGTGGCAGGGTACCTCGCTGGCAAAGTGCAAGGCCCTAATTTCAATCCCTAGTACCACTACCACTACCACCAAAAAATAAGCATATATGTATATATGCTTAAAAATATCAGCCAGGCATTCATGATTCATATTTGTAAATTTAAACACTGGTTTAAGGGATCAGTCGTGGGGCTTGAACTCAGGGCCTGGTCACTGTCCCTGAGCTTCTTTTGCTCAAGGCTAGCACTCTACCACTTGAGCCACCTCACCACCTCTGGCTTTTTCTGTTAATGTAGTACTGAGGAATCAAACTTCATGCATGCTATGCAAAAGCATTCTACCACTAAGCCACACACCCAGATCTAATTTTAATTACTTTAAAGACTGGTATCAGGAGGATGGAGAATGAGGACAACATGGGCAAAACTTCTCAAGATCTCACCTCAGCCATTAGCTAAGTATGGTAGTATACACTTGTCATCTCAGCTATGGCAGGAAATATAAACACATGCTGGTGGCTCACACCTGTAATCTCAGCTACTCAGGTGGCTGAGATCTCAGCATTGTGGTTCAAAGCCAGCCCATGTAGAAAACTACTTGCATGAAAAACAAACAAAAACATCCATACATATCCAAGAAAAAAAATGAGATCCTACCTCTGAAAAAAATCAAAAGGGAACATGGATGTGTGACTCAAGTGGTAGAGCCATCTGTCTAGCAAGTACAAACCTTACTACTGCCAAAAAGAAAGAAAATCAAAATAAAATTTCAAAATTGAAAGAAAACCCATCTTTCCCTACAATCTATAGGTATAAGCTCAAAGTCAGTAAAATGGACACTACTCTTGGTCTGTTTTGTACATAACAAGAAGCTTCAACAAAGAAAAGTCATTTTTTGCTCAAACTCAATTTGTAAAGTCCTGAGCTCCAGACTTCCTTGACAACCTTGTTAAATTTAAGATTACTGGCACTTGTGAGTCAACCAGTTTAAGAGTCCAACAAGATGTTTGTTGTTATTCTTAATAAGATCTTCAAAAGAGATTGTGTGTGTGTGTCTGTCTGTCTCAAGGTCTTCCTTTCACTCTCATTCAGCTTTTTCACTAATGCCTGGAGGTCTACCACTTGAGTCACACTTCTAGTTTTTCTGCATTTTTCTGGAGATGGAATCTCACAAATTTGTCTGCTAGGGCTGGCTTCAAATCTCTATCCTCCTATCTCAGTAGCTAACATTATAGACATGAACCACCAGTACCTGGTTGAGCTTGAACATCCTAAAAATATCCAAGGAGCATATATCTGTTTCAAGTTACAAATAAACACACACACATGCGTGTGTGATGTATGTATATACACACATATGTGTATTCATATGTTTGTATGTGTTTTTTTCCCTTGGATGTGGGACTTGAACTCAAGGCCTAGGCACTGTACTGTCCTGTCCCTGAACTCTTGCTCAAGGCTAGACCTCTACCACTTTGAGTCACAATGCCATTTCTGGCTTTCTGGTGCTTAGACATAAAAGTCTCAGAAGCTGATGGCTCACGCCTGTAATCCTCATTACTCAGGAGGTTGAGATCTGAGGATCGCAGCTCAAAGCCAGCCCAGGCAGGGAAGTCCATGAGACTCATTTCCAATTAATCACAGAAAAAGTCTAAGTGGCACTGTGGCTCAAATGGTGCTAGCTTGAGCAAAAGGAGCTCAGGGATAGCGTCTTGGCCCAGAGTTCAAGCCCCAGTACACACTCACAGACACAGACACACATACACACACACTCATGGATTTTTCTGCTCAGGCTGGCTTTGAACCATGATCCTCAGATCTCAGCCTCCCAAGTACCTAGGATTACAGCTGTGAGCCACTGGCACCTGGCAACGTGTGTGTGTGTGTGCGCGTGCGCGCTTGTGCATGCACATGCCTGTTCTGAGGCATGAACTTGGGTAGGATGCTATTTCTGAGACTGTTTGCTCAAGTCTAATGCTCTACTACTTGAGCCATAGGTCCAGTTCTTTTTGGTGGTTAACTAGAAATAAGAATCTCATAGACTTTCCTTTTTTAGGCTGGCTTTGAACCGTGATCCTCAGATTTCAACTCCTGAGTAGCTAGGACTATAGGCAGGAGCCTATAGTCTGGCTAATACATATGTATCATATTTGTATCTATATTTTTCCTCTTAAAATACATATTTATAGGACTGGGAATGTAGCTTAGTGGTAGAGTGCTTGCCTAGCATACATGAAGTCCTGGGTTCACTTCCTCAGTACCACATACACAGAAAAGGCCTGGCACATAAATTAAACAACAGCAGCAGCAGCAACAACAACAAAAACATATATAGCAGTCAACAAAATACTGTGATTGACTACTGTTCTCTCATCCAGTCAATGCATGACTTCTCTAGAGTTTCAAAAAACTAAGAAAAAATTTAAAAGATTACTGAAAGAGGTCCTATAATTAGTGTTTCCTATACCTGGCCGTGCTGGTATACAGGCTACTTGGAGCCTGACTTGAAGAGGCGCTCGTGGTGGGGGTAGACTCATAATCAGAAAGAACAGGCTCTGACCCAAACTGCAATGCCCCAAACTGCAGATTTAGCCCTGAGATATCTGCTGAGCCAGGCATCTCCACAGCCAGAGCAGGAATCTACAAAGATGAGTGAAAGACAACAGAATTTAATTTCTAAACTTAGTCATAAATCTCAATTCCCAAATAACACATCATCAAGTACCTTAGAAGTCAGGGAGGCCTTTTTCTTCTGCTGTTTCAGTTTTTGCTGAGCCGGCTGAGGGCTGGAGGATTGGTTGTCTGAAGACACAGGAGACATCTGTGGGGCCGAGGTGGATTTACTTGGCAAAGGAGAAGAGGGTGGTGGAGGTGCTGCTGTGGAGGTAGCCACTGCAGGTGGCTTCTCCTGAAGGAACACCTCCATCATGGTTGAAGATGGGGTAAAAGCCTGGCGCTTTGTAAAAGGGCTATGCACTGTTGAATCATTTGGATTCTTCAAATCTACAAGAGGAAACCCAAAGTAAGAACAAAGGTGATGTGTGGTCCCAAAAAAATACTATCATGTACTAGTGCCATAAATGAGGCCCTCAAGATTCAGAAACTCATTTAAACATGTACATTTGGGATTGAATCTCATCTCCTTTGGTAAATATTATAGGATTTGTTAAGTAACATCTAATTAAATCAACCCTTGAACTTTGCTTTTATAACAAAGAAATCTACAAATTGCCCTAAGTTAATAAGGTCTTAGATGGCCCATCCTGTGAACCCAAAAGTAGTTTGACATTTAAAAAAAACTGTGGGCTAATCTAATGAGAATCTCATCCAAATACCTAGATCAAAACAAAAACAAACTGCAACTATGCATGTAAGTTTGATAACAGATATATTATTTCAATTTTTATTATCTAAGTTTCTGACTAAGGAAAATCAGAGAAATACTGCTCATTCTCTTCGACACAGTTATCAATCCTCCTGCCAGTCTATTAACAATAATACTAGAATGGGTAAAGGATTTAAGTCACTATAATCTTCTTACCATACTGCACCAGAGATGGCGATTGTGTGGTCGAGCTCATGTCCCAAGAGGAGGTGGTGGTGCTTCCAGATTGAGAATGCTGAGCTGCCAACTGAGCCAAGGCCTGAGCAGTCTTAAACTGCTCCAAGAACTGGGAGCCTGTGGTACTGCCACCTTTAGCTTCACCAACATCACCAAATCCTTTCCCTAACATGCTCACCTACAGATCAACAAAATAATTAGTCTCTGGATCAGTAATCTCACTCAGCTACTCACAAAGTTATTTATCCAGCCAAAAACCCAAGACAGATCAGAAAAAGAACATGAACAAGGTGTATATATTAGCATATGGCTGTAATCTTAGCACAAAAGATAAGGACAGGATGATACTGAGTTACAAAGCAGCCTGGGCTACAAACTAAGTTTTACACCAGCCTAAGCTACACAGTATGACCTGATCAGATAAACATATACACACATGAAAGAATGTTACCAAACCAAGAGTCACTGCATATACTTAAGTGTCCCAGCCACTCAGAAGGATCACTTGAGCCCAGGAATTCAAGACAGACTACACAAGACACTGTCTCAAATAAATGTAAAACATTAAAAAATGAAAAATAAGAGCTAACAGACTGAGTACACAGCACAATCTGTTATGTTTAGTACAAGTTCTACAGTAAAAATTATTTAGGTTCAAACCTTAGGTATGAAATCTTGGAAAATTTACTATTACTCTCTCCTTATCTCAGTTTACTCATCTGAACAGGAGAATAAAAAGAAGTCACCAAGAGGTGTGGCTTGTGCCAGGTGTCAACGGCTCACACCTGTAATCCTAGCTACTCAGGAGGTCGATCTAAGGATCATGGTTTGAAGCCAGCTAGGCAGGAAAGTCTGTGAGACACTTATTTCCCATTAGCCATCAAAAAGCCAGAGACAGAGCTGTGGCTCAAGTGGTAGAGCACTAGCCTTGAACAAAAGTTCATGGACAGCACCTAGACCATGAGTTCAAGCCCCAGGACACACACAATAAGGTATAGCTCTAGTGGCAGTACATTTGCCTACCAGTAAGTGAAAGTCTAAAGTTCACAAGCTCAATAACACCAGAAAAAAAAAGTACACACAAGTTGTAGGATTAAACAATATATTTAGCCAGGCACCAGTGGCTCAAGCCAGTAATTCTAGCTACTCAGGAGGCTGAGATTTGAGGATCACAGTTCAAAGCCAGCCTGGGCTAGAAAGTCTGAGACTCTCATCTCCAATTAACCACCAGAAAACCAGAAGTGGTACTGTGGCCCAAGTGGTAGAGCGCTAGCCTTAAGCTGAAGAGCTCAGAACAGCACTCCGGCCAAGAGTTCAAGCCCGATAACCAACAAAAAGAAAAAAATACTTTTGCACTTACTCCCTCCTGTACAATGCACACTAATTACTCAAAAGTTGAGACTATTATGAATAGCAATATGTGTAAACTTAACGTTTTTATGAAAAAAAAATTTAGAGGCAGTTGGGTGCTGGTGGCTCATGTTTGCAATTCTAGCTACTCAGATCTGAGATCACAGTTTGAAGCTAGCCAGAGCAGAAAGTCCCCAGGAGACTCTCAGCTCCAATAAACTACTCAAAAAAGACAGAAGTGGCGCTGTGGCTCAAGTGGTAGAGCACTAGCCTTGAGCACAAAGAGGCTCAGGTACAGATTGCAGGTCCAGAGTTCAAGCCTCCAAAACAAGAAAAAAAAAAAAAGATAAACACTTCAGAGGCAAGAGGATCAAGGTCAATCTGTTAACAGTTAAACTGCCTCAAAAATTATAAGAACCGGGCTGGGAAGGTGGCTCAGTGATAAGAGCGCTTGCCTTGCATGCCTGAGGCCCTGGGTTCGATTCCCTAGCACCACATAAACAAAAAGAAAAAAAGCCGGAAGTGGCGCTGTGGCTCAAGTGGTAGAGCGCTAGCCTTGAGCTGAAGAGCTGAGGGACAGCACCCAGGCCCAGAGTTCAGGCCCCATGACCGGACCCCAAAAAATAAAATAAAATAAAATAAATTATAAGAACCATTAAAAGCTGGTAACATTATCATTCTGTCCTCATGGATAAAGTTAAGAACTGTAAAGCTCCCCACACCTTTAGTATTTTTTAAAATAACCAATATTTGATTATTAACATGAAGGTAATTGTAACATTTTACTTCAGTCACAAAGATTTTTCCAATAAAACAAAACCAATTAACCACAACCATCTCAATTGAATGCGGTGACTATGAAAACACAGGTGAAAAAGAGATAGACACCCCAATTTTCAAACCAATCAACAAATCAGTGTGATTGCTTCCTAATAACCAAGAAAAACTCCCTTTTGGGGGCAAGTAAGTCTCACCCTATGGCCCAGACTGGCCTTGAACGTCACCAAGTTCTTCCCACTCATTCTCCCTCTTTCTCTCTCCCTGTCAGTCGTGGGGCTTGAACTCTGGGTCTAGGTGCTGTCCCTAAGCTCCTTTTGCTCAAGGCTAGCACTCTACCATCTGAACTACAGTACCACTTCCAGCTTTTTTTGCAATTAATTGGAGATAAGAGTCTCTCAGATTTTCCTGCATGGGCTAGCTTTGAACTGCAAACCTCAAATCTCAGCCTCCTGAATAACTAGGGTTTTAGTTGTGAGCTACCAGTGCTCGGTTAATATCAGAGGTTTTGGACTGCTTGTTCAGCACTTGTCCACTGGACTAATAACACAAGCCACTTTTTAGCTTTTTTTTTGGTACAGGTACTAGGTTCTGATCTCAGGGTCAGCGCTGTCCCTCAATTTTTTCACACAAGATGAGCTTTCTATTACTTGAGTCACAGCTCCATTTTCAGCTACTCAGGAGGTTGAGATCTCAGGATTACAGCACAGTCCATGGGCAGCACAGTCCATGAACTTTTTTTTTTTTTGGGTCCGGTTGTGGGACCTGGGAGCTGTCCATTAGCTCTTCAGCTCAAGGCTAGCGCACTACCACTTGAGCCACAGTGCCACTTCCGGCTTTTTTCTTTTTTGCTTATATGTGGTGCTGAGGAATTGAACCCAGGGCCTCATGCATGCAAGGCAAGCGCTCTACCACTGAGTCACCGTCCCAGCCCCATCCATGAGACTCTTACCTCCAATAAACCACTCAGAAAACTGGAAATGGCACTGTGGCTTAGGTGGTAGAGTGCTAGCCTTGAGCTGAAAAGCTTAGGGGCAGTACCAGTCCCAAAGTTCAATCCCCATGACCGACCAAAAAAATGAAAAGAAAAAAGTGATGGTACCATTTGTGACTTGTTCGTTTAGATGATTTTTGCCTGGCTGGATGATTCTGATCTGTTTCCTGAGTAGCTTGAATTACAGGCTTGCACTGCCACAACCTGTCTAAATCATGAGGATTCTGGTTTAATCAATAGATTAGTTGCTTTAGATCTTTAACTTGATAGCATTATTGGGAAGTGAAAGAAACCAGGAGGTAGACTCTAGGTGAAGTAAGTAGGTCACTGGGGTGCTTGAAGGTATACTGTTATTCCTAGTCTCTCCCTCTCATTCCTGTTTCCTAGCCACTATAAGGTGGAGCAGCTCTGTTCCATCACATCAAGGTGGAAGCAAGATCCTATACTAAAACTAACCAGTGAAAAAATGTGACAGCTATATTGTGCTAGCTTGGCAAGGGCAAAGCAAAAAAAAAAAAAAAGATAAAAATTCCTTGGGGTGGGAATGTGGCTTAGTGGTAGAGTGCTTGTCTAGCATGCATGAAGCCCTGGGTCTGATTCCCCAGTACCAGATAAACAGAAAAAGCCAGAAGTGGCACTATGGCTCAAGTGGTATAGCTCTATCCTTGAGCATAGAGAGGCTCAGGAATAGACCTAGGTCTTGAGTTCAAGGCTCAGGACTGACAAACAAATGTCCAGACCAAGGGGTTGGAAAGGTGGCTCAGGTAGAGTGCTGGCCTTGCATGCATGAGGCCCTGGGTTTGATTCCTCAGCACCATATAAGCAGAAAAAAAAGCCAGAAGTGGTGCTATGGCTCAAGTGGTAGGGCACTAGCCTTGAGCTGAAGGACAACGCCCAGGCCCAGAGTTCAAGCCCCACGACCGACCAAAAACAACAACAACAACAACAAACAAACAAATGACCAGACCAAACAAAAAAACCTTGCATAGTGGCAAATTCCTGAAATCCCAATATTTGGGAGGCAGAGCAAGTCAGGAGAATCCTGAGTTCAAAGCCTGGGCTACATAGTATACTACATGTGAGTTTGAACTACACTGGTTTTGTTTTCTCTTTTGTAGAAGGTACTGGGGGCTTGAATTCAAGGTTACACAGGAAATCTACCACTTGTGCTATAAGTCCAACAGAAGTGCTATTAAGTCTAGTCCAAGAACCTTTTTCAAAATTAAACTGAAAGATGAAGACCACATTTAACAATAATATTTCTTAAATGTTATTTAACATTTATATTTAGGGCTGAGAATATGGCTCCTCAGTGGTAGAGTGCTTGCCTAGCATGTATGAAGCCCTGGGTTCCATTCCTCAGCTACACATAAACAGAAAAGGCTAGAAGTGGTGCTGTGGCTCAATGGCAGAGTGCTAGCCTTGTGCAAAAGTAGTTCAGGGACAATGCCCAGGCCTTGAATTCAAGCTCCAGGATTGGCCAAAAATAAATAAATAAAAAAACATTTCATATTTAATATTTATTCTCAGTCTAAGGCACATTAAATAATATAGTAATGCATTAATGAGAAAGTAAAGTCTACTTAGTTTTACATTTATAAAACAACGTGCGTTAGAAGAAATGTTATGGCAACAAAATTTGAATTACTGTTTATAAGCTACTTGAGAAGCAGGATCCCAACTCCTGGGGAAGCACAATGGCTGGATGCAGAGGCGCCTGTCTAACATTCTCATTGACATAGAAAAGCTCAAGTGGGAGGATCATTAAAAAAAGCCACCCAAGACATAAATGTCCCTACCTTGAAAATGACCATCCAAAGAGGGACTAGAATAGTGGCTCAAGTATAGAGCTCTGCCTACCAAGTGTGAGAAACTAAGATCAATCCCCAAAACAAAACAAATAAATAAGGCCTTGAGTCACCTTTTATTTTTATGTTTTTGTCGGTCGTGGTCTTGGACTCTGGGCTTGGGCCCTGTTCAGCTCAAGGGGTGTGCTCAACTACTTGAGCCACAGAGCCCCTTGAGGTTTTCTGAGTGGTTTATTGGAGATAAGAGTTTCATGGACTTTCCTGCCCGGGCTGGCTTTGAACTGCGATCCTGCGATCCTCAGATCTCAGCCTCCTGAATAGCTAGGATTACGAGTGTGAGCCACTGGTGCCCCGCACCTTTTATTTTTTGGATGCCTATCCTGGGCTTGAATTCAGGGCCTGGGTGCTTTCCCTGAACTTTTTTGCTTAAGGCTAGTGCTCTACCACTTGAGCCACAGTTCTACTTTCCTTCCCAGTTTAGCTTTGAACTGCAATCCTCAGATTTCAACCACCTTAGTTTTTTCTTTTCTTACTTTTTTGATGACAATACTGGGATTTTAACTCAGAGCCTGGGCGCTGTCCCTTAACTTTTTCTTTCAAAGCTAATGATCTACCACTTGAGCCACAGTTCCACTTCTGGCTTTTTGGTGGTTAATGAGAGATAAAAGAGTCTCACAGAATTCTTTCAGGCTAGCTTCAAACAAAAATCCTCAGATCTCAGCTTCCTAAGGAGCTAGGCCTATAGGCATAAGCCACCTGCACCCAGCCACAGGACATCATGTTTACTCTCATATTCCTTTGAAGATAGTTAATGAGTTTAGTAGTTTTTTTAAGTTTAGTTGCCAGTACTGGGGTTTTAACTTAGGGTTTCTTCACATTTGCTTGGCTAATGATCTAGCCCTTAAGCCATGCCTCCAACCTGGCTTTCTGCTGATTATTTTGTCTTGTTTTGTTTTGGGTCGTGGGGCCTGAACTCTGGGCCTACCTAGGTGCTGTCCCTCAGATCTTCAGCTCAAGGCTAGCGCTCTACCACTTGAGCCACAGAGCCACTTCCGGCTTTTTTCTTTTTGCTTATGTGGTGCTGAGGAATCGAACCCAGGGCCTCATGTATGCAAGGCAAGCGCTCTACCACTGAGCCACCTTCCCAACCCCTCTGCTGGTTATTTTGGAGATAGTCTTCTTGACCTTTTATTTGTCATACCTTAGTCTTCAACTCAAAAGCCTGAGCTCTACGCGAGGCTTTTTGCTTAAAGCTAGCGCTCTACCACTTTTTAAAAACATTTACTTTATTGTAAATAGCTCTTTCATGACCTTTTTGCTTGAGCTCAGCAATACAGTCCTCTGGATCTCAGCCTCCGAAGTATCTAGTATTACAGGCTTTGGCACTTAGTGACATTACTTCCTGTTGTAATGCTGTAATTGAGAAATCATGTACTAAGTGCCCTAGATTATTCTACTATTAATACTGCTGCATTTGTTTAGGTAGTCTTAAAAAAATGAAAACTAAAAGCCGGGCACCAGTGGCTGCAATCCTAGCTACTCAGGAGGCTGAGATCTGAAGATCACAGTTCAAAGCCAGCCCAGGGCAAGAAAAGGCCATGAGACTCTTGTCTCCAATAAACCAATAGAAAACTGGAAGTGGCACTGTGGCTCAAGTGGTAGAGCGCTAGCCTTGAGCTGAAGAGCTCAGGGACAGTGCCAGCTCCAGAGTTCAAGCTCCATGACTGACAAAAAAAAAATTAGAAAAAGTAAAAAATGAAAAATAATGTAGCTGGGCACTGATGGTTCACACCTATAATTCTAGCTACTCAGGAGGCTGAGATCTGAGGATCGCGGTTCAAAGCCAGCCCGGGCAGGAGAGACCTTGAGACTCCTATCTCCACTAAACCACCAGAAAACCGGAAGTGGCGCTGTAGCTCAAGTGGTAAAGCACTCGCCTTGAGCTGAAGAGCTGAGGGACAGCACCCAGGCCCAGAGTTCAAGCCCCACAACCGACAAAAAAAAAAAAAGAAAGAAAAAAGAAAAAGAAAAAGAAGCATTGTATTACCATTTACACTCTAGTGGAGAACAAACTAGTTTTTTGGGTTGTGTTTTTGTTTTTTTGCCAGTCTTAGGGCTTGAACTCACGGCCTGAGCACTGTCCCTGAGCTTCATTTGCTCAAGGACAGCACTCTACCACTTGAGCCACAGTGCCACTTCCAGCCTTTTCTGTTTTCTGTGGTACTAAGGAATGACCCAGGGCTTCATGTATGCTAGGCAAGCATTCTAGCACTAGGCTACATTTTTTTTTTTTTTTGGTCCGGTCCTGGGGCCTGAACTCTGGGCCTGGGCGCTGTCCCTCAGCTCTTCAGCTCAAGGCTAGCACTCTACCACTTGAGCCACAGCGCCACTTCTGGCTTTTTTCTTTTTGCTTATGTGGTGCTGAGGAATCGAACCCAGGGCCTCATGCATGCAAGGCAAGCGCTCTACCACTGAGCCACCTTCCCAGCCCCCTAGGCTACACTTTTTATGGAGCAGATTTAGAAAGACTAGGTTATTGGAGGCCTAGTCTAAAAACATATGTGGTTTAAAAATACATAAAACAGGGCTGGGAAGGTGGCTCAGTGGTACAGTGCTTGCCTTGCATGCATGAGGCCCTGGGTTCGATTCCTCAGCACCACACAAACAAAAAGAAAAAAGCCGGAAGTGGCGCTGTGGCTCAAGTGGTAGAGCGCTAGCCTTGAGCTGAAGAGCTGAGGGACAGTGCCCAGGCCCAAGGTTCAGGCCCCACACCAGACCTCCCCCCCCCCCCAAAAAATATATATATAAAACACTGTGAAAGTTTAAATGTGTTTGTGACTTTAAGAATCACTATCCCACAATACTGTAAAATTTGTTTATGTAATCACTTAATATTAATAAAAAATTATTTTAAAATACATAAAACAATTTTATCCTATTAAGAAATAAGGAAATGTAACAATCTTCAGTTTAATTAGAATTGCAAAACAATTAAAATCTGATTAACAAGGGCTGGGAAGGTGGCTCAGTGGTAGAGCGCTTGCCTTGCATACCTGAGGTCCTGGGTTCAATTCCCCAGCACCACATAAGCAAAAAGAAAAAAGCCAGAAGTGGTGCTATGGCTCAAGTTGTAGAGCGCTAGCCTTGAGCTGAAGAGCTGAGGGGACAGCGCCCAAGCCCAGAGTTCAGGCCCCAAGACTGGACCCCCCCCCCCCAAAAAAAAAACAAACCACAAACATGGACCTTAGCCTTTATCTTTACACAGAAAACATAACCACATACTGATTATTTTTTGACTGTCCCATAAGGAAAGTGATTTAGGAATAACTAATCAACTTTCTGTTGTTTCTGCTTTCTTCAGACTTTTCTACCTAAAAACCTCTTCTGCTTAAGACAATGGGATACCTATCATCCTATTTTGGGAATTAAGTGTTGCCTGGTGTGAGAATTGAAAATGAAGCTAAGAAATACCTTAAAAACTTTAACTTTGGGGGCTGGGAAGGTGGCTCAGTGGTAGAGCGCTTGCCTTGCATGCAAGAGGCCCCGGGTTCAATTCCTTAGCACCACATAAGCAAAAAGAAAAAAGCCGAAGTGGCGCTGTGGCTCAAGTGGTAGAGCGCTAGCCTTAAGCTGAAGAGCTGAGGGACAGCACCCAGGCCCAGAGTTCAGGCCCCACGACCAGACCACCACCACCCACCCCCGCAAAAATGGGAATGTGGCTCAGTGGTAGAGTGCTTGCCTAGCATGCATGAAGCCCTGGGTTCGATTCCTCAGTACCATATATACAGAAAAAGCGGAAAGTGGCGCTGTGGCTCAAGTAGTAGAGTAGCTAGCCTTGAACAAAAAGCAGCTCAGGGACAGTGCCCAAGCCCTGAGTTCAAGTCCCAGGACTGGCAATGATGATAAGAATAAGAACGACAACAACTTTGTCTTCTGATAGAAGAATGACTACATGTGTATAGTTTAGGTGGTGGGAATTTCCTACTTACCATGCTATGATGAGAAAACGTGTTCCCTGAAGCAGGCTGTGATATAGCACTCTGCTTAGAATTACTAAATACCAGAGGCTGGGCCAGAGAAGGGGCCTGAGATGGATCCAAATTAGATGAATCATTCTCCATTGAAGATGGTGTCTTTCCCAACAGAACAGCAAGATCAATTCTACCACAGAAAGAAGGGGAACTTTATTAATAATGACTGAACTTTCTCACATTCCCCAATAGATCACTCAGGCACTTACTGGGCTCACAAACACAAAGTCCTAAATGTTTAACAAACCAAAATAACTGATACCTAAGAGTCATTATGGTATCTAAGTGAATTCACTGATGTTGCCATCAATAACAGTCGTTTTTTTTTTGTTTGTTTGTTTGTTTGTTTTAAATATACTGGCTTTTCTTTCTTATTATATAGCCCAGACTGGCTTCAACTCACCATGTTCTCTTGCCTTAGTCTCACAAGTGCTGGGATGGCCAGCTTCAATGCTAGTTTAATGTATGGTGAACTCACAAAGTAGGTCAAAATGTTAAAACTAGTTAACCATGACTTTAATACCGAGTACTTATCATTAATATTTCCTACAACTTAAAACCACATGCCTAGCCGGGCGCTGGTCGCTCATGCCTGTAATCCTAGCTACTCAGGAAGCTGAGATCTGAGAACTATGGTTCAAAGCCAGCCTGGGCAGGAAAGTCCATGAGACTCTTATCTCTAATAAACCACCAGAAAACTGGAAGTGGCGCTGTAGCTCAAGTGGTAGAGTGCTCGCATTGAGCTGAAGAGCTGAGGGACAGGGCCCAAGCCCAGAGTTCAAGCCCCACAACTGACCAAAAAAAAAAAAATTAAAACCACATGCCAGAATTCTCATCTACTTTAGAACAAAGAAAGCTTCAGATGTTTTCCTCAACTTATGCAAAATTTCGTATTACCTGTAGTACAGAGTAAAATATGGGACTAGAGAGGTAGTTCAGTGGTAGAATGAATTTCTAGCATACATAAGGCACAGAGGAGAATTGAGATTCACAGCCAAATAGGTTGAAAAGTTCATGAGACCTCATCTCAACCAAGAACTGGGGGCAATGGCATAAACCTATCATCCCAGTTACTAAGGAGGCTGAGATTAGGATGATAGCAATACTAGGCTGGATTGGGCAAAAAGTTCACATGACCTCATCTCAACAAAAAAATGTAGGTGTGGTAGCACATGCCTGTCATCTCAACTATGATGGGAAATATAATAAACAGGAGCATTGAGGTATGGGCACTGGTCCCTGTGTCAGAAATAACCAGAGCAGCCACATGCTGGTTGTTCACACCTGTAATCCTAACTACTCAGGAGACCCAGGAAAATCAATGAGACTATTATCTCCAAATTAACCACCAAAAAGTCAGAAGGGGAGCTATGGATCACGGGGTAGAATACCAGCTTGGAACAAAAAGCTCATGGACACTGCCCAGATCCAGTTCAAATCCCAGGACTGGCACACACACACACAATAACCATCATCATCATCTAGGCGCTGGTGGCTCAGGCCTGTAATCTTAGCTACTCAGGAGGCTGAGATCTGAGAGTTGTGGTTCAAAGACAGCCTGGGCAGGAAAGTCCATGAAACTCTTATCTCCAATTAACCACCAAGTGGTAGAACGCCAGCCTTGAGCTGAAGAGCTCAGGGAAAGCACCCAGGCCGAGTTCTATAACCTACAAAAAAATTTTTAAAAATTAAAAAAAAAAGAGCAAAAGGCCTGGGAGGTTTGACAAGGAATAGAGCACCTGCTCGACAAGCACAAAGCTATGAGTTCAAACTTCAGTGTCCAATACCACTCAATGGGACGCGAGGGAAGCTGAGATGTAAGGATCACAGCTGAAGCCATCCCAGGCTTCTGTGAGACTCTTATCTCCAATAAACACCCTCCCCCCCCCCCCCCCAAAAAAAAAAGACTGGAAGTAAAGCTATGGCTCAAGTGGTAAGCACTAGCTTTGGGCAAAAGAAGATCAGGAACAGTGTCAAGACTGAGTTCAAGCCCTAGAACTTACACCAAAAAAAACAAAAGTCCTACTTTCAGGTTGGGTCTACTTTTCCCTGGCTACTTCAAGACAAGTTATACAGTCAATGCTATTGAGGATCAGTCTGGTCTACATAATTAAATGAGAGTATGATGTAATATTACAACATGTGAACTTTCATTCAGCACACTGATTATTACTATTATAAATCCCTACTAACATCAAGGGAGTTTGTAAAGACAAATGTTGTTATTCTTTACAGCTAACTCAGAAGATCTCTTTGGGAAAAGGTATTAAATTTTACCACACACTTGCCTCTGACCAGCAGTGATTGTCACATTCTCCGCAGGCAGAGGCACTGAAGACACATTGGAAGCAGTGAAAATCTTGGTTTCAGAAAGCTGGAAAACAGAGGAATTATTATTACTGGTGTCAGATAAGCTAAAGTCAGAAGTTGGCATAGGCTGGATTCAATACCAAAAGAATTAAAAAAAAGCTATCTACCCTGAAGAATCCTGAATTGATTTTCAAGCCTACTCAGGTTTTATCCAAGGACAGGTTAGAATTAAGGGACTCAAAAAAAAAAAAAAAAAAGTATAATAGAGTGAAATAATCACATGCAGACTAAACACAAATAAGGTTCTACTTACTAGTCATACAAAAGAGAAAACCCCTCCACATTTTTCTATTATAGCTCCTAATCAGCACCTCAACCCAAACACTTCTCTTCCACTATTCTTTTCAAATAAACTAAAAAGTTAAGAAAACTCTTGAGCAGTAAAAGTTTTTTTGAGGTAAAGGTTTTTTTTTCAATAAGTTTTCCCTTTATACTATACAGGTCCTAGTGTTTGAACTCGGGGCCTACACACTGTCCCAGACCTTTTTTGCTTGGAAGAAGTGTACTTGAATTTTTAAAAATTTTTTTGTAGGTTATAGAACTCTGGGCCTGGGTGCTTTCCCTGAGCTGTTCAGCTCAAGGCTGGCGTTCTACCACTTGAACCACAGATCTACTTCTGGCTTTTAGTAGTTAACTGGAAATAAGTGTCTCACAGACTTTCCTTCCCTGGGCTGGCTTTCAACCACGATCCTCATATCTCAGCCTCCAAAGTAGCTAAGGTTACAGATGTGAGCTACCACCGCCCTGCTTATTATACTCTCATAAGGCATCTAAATTAGGTGATCAACTACAGAAATTAACTCTTGACTACTAAATAAAGTTAAATTGTGATTTTTACTTCTCAAATATTCTCTCAAATAGTGAGGAAATATGCCCATTTCTTGAAAGTTGCTAAAGAAAATAAGCCAGATTTTGGGCTGGGAAGGTGGCTCAGTGGTAGAGTGCTTGCCTTCATGCCTGAGGCCCTGGGTTCGATTCCTCAGCACCACATAAGCAAAAAAGCAAAAAGCCGGAAGTGGCACTGTGGCTCAAGTGGTAGAGTGCTCGCCTTGAGCTGAAGAGCTGAGGGACAGCGCCCAGGCCCAGAGTTCAGGCCCCATGACCGGACCCAAAAAAAAAAAAAAAAAAAGGAAGCCAGATTTCAGAATCAGAGAATGATTAAATTCACAAGACAGTCTAGTTCGCTCATAATAAAAAATAATCGTTCTCTGATAGTGATGCTACTCAAGCTTTAAAAAGTCATAACTGGAGCAGGTGCCAGTGGCTCACACATGTAATCCTAACTATTCAGGAGGTTGAAGTCTGAGTATCATAGTTTGGAAGCCAGCTTCAGCAGAAAAGTCTCTGAGACTTACTTCCAATTAACCACCAAAAAAAGCCAGAAGTGGCTCAAGTACTAGAGCACCAGACTTAAGTGAAATATCTAAGGAATAACAGCCAAGCTTTGAGTTCAAGCCCCAGTACTGGCATACACGCTTGCATGCGCGTGCAACACACACACACACACACACACACACACAACTTAAAAGTGACTGACATCATCATAAATACATGGAAAGGTTAACAATGATATTCTCTTCTGTATAACTAATACAAGTTAGTAAATAAATATCCATAATCACTGAAAACAATCATTCACAGCTAAAGCTTGACTGTGACCAGGAATCAGGAAAATTGTTTTACTCCGGTAGTAAGGTGAATTCAGATTATTTTATGTGCCACTCATCTATAGGGTTTCCAAGTTGAGTCAAATTGGCAGATAGTCAAACATACATATATTCACCTCAATTACAGTTATACAGGGCTTCAAATAAATGAAAGGGTTTCAGAGCCAATCAGACTATAAGCCTGAGGATTTGGTACCATCATACTAATTCCAACATCCACTGGCAACCCATTACAGGACTATATACCAAATAAGGATTCTTAGTAGATTCATGTACCACCAGCAGCTATTACTCAACGTTCTACCTGCCTCACTCCATTTGTGGTGCCCTACCCAACCACCATCTTTTCCTGGAATAAATCCGACAATCAGATATTGGACTTACACAAGTGCACTTGCCCTTTCCACAGTGTGGTTCCAGAGTCCTGTTCATGCCCAGTCTCCTTCATATAACATATGTGAAATGTTCTGGCTCAGAACACTATTTTGGATGTAAAAGTTTTGGGTCAGAATCTTATGTGTGCATTTTAAGGGGTAGAAATACACCAATTTTCTATCCCTAAACACCACTTAGGGATAGAAGGCATTAATGAGGAATGTCCTGGGAATACCTACATCTTCATTCCAATCTTCAGTTCCCCATTCTTCTGTCGCAGTCCTCCATGCACCTGGAAAGAAAGGAAAAATTGTGGAATAATTTTAAGTATAAAACATGCAAAATCCAATGTATTAACATTTTTGATGAAAGTAAAAAGTATAACAGTTTATTAACCAGAAGGAATTGCTGGGCTTTAGCGATGAAAGACTATAGCAAGGGAAAGTTCAGAGAAGTAGGGTTTTGTTAAGATTATGATTTCATTGGTACTTTCAGTTTTTGTTACAGAGCTGCAAGGTGGAGAGAAGGGGAAGAAATGGACTGAAAATGCATGCACACAAACACTAGACTTAAAGATCCATGCAGTACTATTAAGGTACTATTAAGTACTATTAAGGACCACAGTTCTATTAAGAACTCTACTGAAGAGCTGTGGGCTATAATGATGTAGTAGTCATTGAGTGAAATGGTGGCAGACAATTCAAACTAAAACATGCAGACTATACATATTTGCTTTGAGAGAGAAAACTATAAGCAGTATGAAGATGATGACAGCACAGCAGTGAAAGAGAAATATAAATAAATAGTAAAAGAAGAATGTCTAAGAATAGGTTTGAAAGTCAAACAGAATACTGAGAAGTTAAGAGTTACTGGAACTGAATGAAAAAATATACCCAGAAGTCTTAATTCATAAATATTATAGGTTTAGCTAGAAAATTGTAAAGAAGGCTCCATGTATTTAAATCGTTTTGGAAGACAACAGGTTAAAAATCAAGTATGAGGGGCTGGGAAGGTGGCTCAGTGGTAGAGCGCTTGCCTTGCATGCATGAGGCCCTGGGTTGATTCCTCAGCACCACAGAAGCAGTAAAAAAAAAAAGCCGGAAGTGGCGCTGTGGCTGAAGTGGTAGAGTGCTAGCCTTGAGCTGAAGAGCTGAGGGACAGCGCCCAGGCCCAAAGTTCAGGCCCCACAACCGGACCCCCTGCCCCCCACCAAAAAAAAATTCAAGTATGAGCAGTATCCATCAACCTAATCCTACTCATACACTACAGAATATGGAATCTAACCTTTTAAGGTTATGGCACAAACAACAGAAGCCTACAATTTATCATATTGTAAGTAAGGATACAGTTTACATGGAAAAGGTATACAGACAATCAAAGCACCTTCCATATCTCCTTTCCCCAATTTCTTTGCTTCATATAATTTCAGAAAATGTCCCTTCATAAGGAATTTGGGTGAGAATATGAGAACCACAATTTTTCCCTTAAACCAAAGACCAGAGTAAGAATTTATCTGGCTGTATAAGGCATAACAATATGTTATTTTCTTATCTAGAACTATATATTTATCACATAAGTCAAAAAGCCTTCTAAATAAGTGGACAGTTTTGTTTTGTTGGTTTCTCGGTTATGGGGCTTGAACTCTGGGCCTGGGTGCTATCCCTCAGCTCTTCAGCTCAAGGCTAGCGCTCTACTTGAGTCACAGCACCACTTCTGGTTTTTCCAGTGGGTAAGTGGAGATATGAGTCTCATGTACTTTCCTGCCAGGGCTGGCTTTGAATCATAATCCTCAGATCTCAGACTACTGAGTAGCTCGGATTACAGTCTTGAGCCACTGGTGCCCGGCTTAGTTTCCTTTTTTTTTTTAAAATAAGAATTCAAGGATGGCTGGGCATTATGGTGCAATGCACTAGGCAGGCTAAGGCAGAAAGGCAATTAAGGCAAGGCAGCCTGGGCTATACAGTGAGATACTGTCTCAGATTAAAAAAAAAAAAAAAAAAAGGCTAGCATCTAGACATTTCAGTCACTGAATAGAAATATTTTAATATCTATAAAGGAAAAACCTTATTTCCTACAGTATGAATACTTTCCCAAGAAAATCTTAAAACTGTACCAGAAAAATTCCAAACCACTTATTAATGACAATGCATTAAAAAATTGAAGTAGCTGTAATCCTAGCTACTCAGGAAATGAGATCTGAGGATCTCAGTTCAAAGCCAGCCCATGCAAGGAAAGTCCATGAGATTCTTATCTCCAGAAAACCGGAAGTGGTACTGTGGCTCAACTGGTAGAGTGCTTGCTTTGAGATGAAGAGCTGAAGGACAGGGCCCAGGCCCAGAGTTCTAGCCCCATGACTGGCCTCCCTCCCTCCGCCCCTTCCCGCCAAAAAAAAATCAAAGTCTAATGTCAGTTATACAAGTTATAAATCATATTTTCCCCTATATCTGTTGATACCATTATTTTCCTTTGACATCTGTCCCCCCCTGGTTAAATGGAACACAGGAGTTATACACAATTCTAGACTGAGAGGTTATATAATTTAGACTATGCAAGATTTTCACTATACACTCTGGTAACTTCAACTGGGATAGAAAGGAATAATGAAATACTGACTTGATGCTTTCAAGAAGTATGGTTATGGCTAAGAAACTCATTTTGAGGAATTAAGAAATAAAGATGGAAATGCTCTGAGCAGATTAGGGCATACATTCCCTCAGCATAAAGTGCAGACAATATAAATGTTGAGTATTCATGAAAAAGTAAGAGTGGGCACAGAAAAAGAGGAAAAGGCACAAAGAAAAAAAAAAGCAGAAAAGACAGAAAAATGACATATCCACAGATATTTCAGTTCATAAAAATCTATAAAAAAAAATATCCGGGGCAGTTAGGCGCCTGGATGTATCATACCAGGAGCAGTCTCAAATTTTCGGGGATAATTTGACCCCTCAACCCCAATGAAATCAAGTCCTGAAACAAAAAGAAAAGAAAAGAAAAAACAACCAGTGAAATTTTGTTTGAGAATGAGAATGTCTGCCCCCAAATACATAATTCCCACTGTACCTGTGGATATTTTCAGGGTAGGTTTAAATTTATTTTTAAACTAAAAAGGCAACTTGTAATTTTGCTATTATGACAACACAAAAAGAAATCATGCATGAAGGCATGCTAGATCATGAAATCAATAATGAAAATGCATGAAGCTACACACCTAAAACCCTTTTTCTCATTGATAAGGCAGCAGCACCACTGATCATTGTGTGACTATGGACTTCTTAAACAGGGTTTCTTTTCTAATTACTAAAAATAAATATTCACTTCCCCATTGTTTTTATAACTAGATACTTGTTGAATACAGGTAAGGACTAGGATATCAAAGCCTGACTTTTTTGGGGGGGGCCCGGTCATGGGGCCTGAACTCTGGGCCTGGGCGCTATCCCTCAGCTCTTCAGCTCAAGGCTAGCACTCTACCACTTGAGCCACAGCGCCACTTCCAGCTATTTTTTTTCTGCTTATGTGGTGCTGAGGAATCGAACCCAGGGCCCCAAGCATGTAAGGCAAGCCGTCTACCACTGAGCCACTTTTCCAGCCCCCAAAGCCTGGCTTTCTATTCCAAAGTAAAAGTAGTTCCCTAATTTCCACCATCTTTTCTTGCAAAGACTAAAAACTCAACTATTCAAGAGCAAAGCACATTACCTTTTAGTATTGTTACAACTACCCCTACAAATCCATCAGGAGATTAATAGTTCTAATGTCTCTAAAATACAGTAAGTTAAAACTCAATATTCCAAGCTGAGCACTAATTGTTCACACCTATAATCCTAACTATTCAGGAGGCTGAGATATGAAGTTCACAGTTCAAAGCTAGCCCAGGGAGAAATGGCCCCATGAGACTCTTATCTCCAATTAACCACCAGAAAACTCAAAGTGGCACTGTGGCTCAACTGATAGAGTGCTAGCCTTGAGCTGAAGAGCTCAGGGAGAGCGTCCAGGGCCCAGAGTTCAAGCCCCAGGACTAACCACAACAACAACAAAAAAGGAAATCTAACAAGGTATCTGTACCCATTGGAAAGTTTTAAAATGTTTATTAAATAGCATCTTTGTGAACAATAAGCAACATTTAGTGCCTAAGGTATACTGTGTGCTAATGAGAAGCTGGAGAAACAAAGATAAGAATCTTTAAAAGGGAATATGAAAGTTTTAAATCAACATAAAGCATCTTTTACTTCAAGCTTTTCTATTAACCTATATCTAATAAGATGAAAAGCTTTGGTCTCAGGTGCTGACTCAACCAGAAGGAAGTAAAAGATATCAACAGAAGAAAACACTCCAGAACCTAAAGGCTGCGGAGGCTGGGTGCCAGTGTCTCATGCCTGCAATCCTAGCTACTCAGGAGGCTGAGATCTGAGGTTCAAGACCAGCCTGGGCAGAAAAGTCACCACGAGACTCTAATCTCCGATTAACCACTCAAAAACCAGAAGTGGCTATAGCTCACAGTGGTAGAGTGCTAGCCTTGAACAGAAGAACTCAGGGACAGAGCCCAGGCCCCCAGTTCAAGCCCCACAACCAACAACAACAAAAAAAAGGTATAAAAGCAATACACACATACCTTTTACCTTCAAAGACATCTTGGCTTACCCATAAGCCTAATAACCTTAAAGATATATGGTGTATCTAAATCTAAGTACCAGAGTCAGCTAACCAAAGAACAATATTACTCATATCTTGTAGTAGTCCGCAACACATCAAGGCTACTTAACAAAAAAGGAAGCCTAGTGAGTCCTTTCATGCTCCAATATGAAGACTTCTCAAAAATAAAGAAAAGCGGGTAACAGTGGCTCACACTTGTAATCCTAGCTACTCAGGAGGCTGAGATCTGATCGCCGTTCAAAGCCAGCCCTGGCAAGAAAGTCCATGAGACTCTTATCTCCAATAAACCACACAGAAAACTGGAAGTGGCACAGTGGCTCAAGTGGTAGAAATAGCCTTGAGCTGAAGAGCTGAGGGACAGTGCCCAGACCCAGAGTTCAAGCCCCATGACTGACAAAAAATAAAGAAAATAAAGAAAAAAGAAGAAGTTTTTATCTTCGTATCAGAAAATAAATCAACAGTATAGACTTTTGATTCTGAACCCTGTTCATTTCTACAAGTAATAGTTTAATTAATTGGTTGATTCTGGGTCATCTTCTGAAAAGATAAAGCTACTACAATAAAAATTAAGAAATACAATCAGAGCTTAGAGCAGCTATATGTTATAATGCAAAGAGCACAAGATTTAGAATTAAATAATTCTAAGTTCAAAGACTAACATCTTTTCTTTTAGTATCAGTTATATCACCAGGAAAGTGATACTAAATAATGCCTGTGAAGCTAAGCCATGCAGGAAACTGTGACTCTTTTCTCCAATTAACCACCAAAAAGCCAAAACACACCAAACACAATGTGAGCCAGGTGCCAGTGCCTCACACCAGTAATCCTAGCTACTCAGGAGGCTGAGACCATGGTTCAAGGCAAGCCAGGGCAGGAAAGCCTGTGATACTCTCACCTCCAATGAATTACCAGAAAACCCAAAGTGGAGCTGTAATTCAAAGTGGTAGTGTGGTAGGCTTGAGTGAAAAAGCTCAGGGACAGAGCTCAGGCCCTAAGTTCAAGCCTATGACCAATAAAAACAAAACAAACAAACAAAAAGGGTAATGTGGGCATGTACTCCAGTGATACAGCATCTGCCTAGTAAGTTGAAAGTTGCACTCAGTCCCTATGTATTATAAAAAAAAAACAAAACAAAGTGTACTTCATAAACCAGTGATAAGGATCAAATACAACAGCACATATATTGTTCTTATAAGCACACATGTCAATATGGTATGTAAACAGAATAAACAGTAGTTTAACTTATCTTACCCTATCTTTGTACCCAAATATAAGTTGTTAAGTCTTTTTAGTCCTGGGGCTTGAACTCAAGGTCTTGGCACTATCCCTGAGCTTCTTTTGCTCAAGACTAGCACTCTACCACTTGAGCCACAGTACCACTTCCAGCCTTTTCTGTTTATGTGGTACTGATAAATTGAACCAGGGCTTCATGCATGTTAGGCAAGCACTCTACCACTAAGCCATGTTCCCAGCCATCCCTTTTGTGGTTTTGTTTTTGGTGTTGGGGGTCAAATCCAGATACTGCACTTGTTGGGAAAGCACTTTGCTACTGAGCTACATCCCAGCCCCCACTTTTTTAAAAGTAATTATAACCTCATATGAAAATATTTCCTGAGCTGAGGATATAGCTCAGTGTTACAACACTTGCTTAGTATGCACAAGGTCCTGGATTCAATCTACAGCATACACACAAAAAAGAAATTCTTAAAAATCCCAGAGACAAAAAATGAAAACAGTCACTCACTCGTCCCATCATCTGGTTCAAAGTGGCCTGTGTTGTTCCATGTATTGCCGCTACTATTGCCATAGTTATCATCAGTACTGGCTGGCTCTGCATAATCAGCTGGATTAAAAGTTCTGAAAAGATGAAACATGAGTTTCTAAAACGAGCTTCAGTAAACACTAACTCAAAGAGTACAATCAAATTTTATCTTATTCACAATATAGACAAATATAGATCAATCACGCACCATTCTATAATCTCAAATGCTGTCTCATTTTTTCACACTATTCAAAATGTAATCTGGGGGGCTGGGAAGGTGGCTCAGTGGTAGAGCGTTTGCCTTGCATCCCTGAGGCCCTGGGTTCGATTCCTCAGCACCACATAAGCAAAAAGAAAAAAGCTGGAAGTGGCACTGTGGCTCAAGTGGTAGAGCACTAGCCTTGAGCTGAAGAGCTGAGGGACAGCGTCCAGGCCCAGAGTTCAGGCCCCACGACCGGATCCCCCCCCCCCAAAAAAAAAGTAATCTGGGCACCAGTGGTTCATACCTATAATCTTAGCTACTCAGAAGGCTGAAATCTGTAGATCATGGCTTCCAAGTTTGAAGCCAAGAAAGTCCATGAGAGTCTCATCTCCAATTAACCAGCAAAAAGCCAAAAGTAGAAACATTGCTCAAGTGGTAAGGCAATGAAGCCAAGAGCACGAGGTCCTGAGCTCAAGACCCAGTATCAATGCACACATGTGCACACACGCAGACAGGTAGACACATATGCGCACGCGTGCATACACACCCACACGCATACACACAGAAGTCATTAAACATGGCACATACTGAAAGATAAAAAGATAAATTAGCCAGGCACTAGTGGCTCATGCCTGTAATCCTAGCTACTCAGGAGGCTGAGATCTGAGGATCACAGTTCAAACCCAGCCCAGACAGGAAGTCTGTGAGACTCTTTATCTCCAATAAACCACTAGAAAACCCAAAGTAGTACTGTGGCTCAAGTGATAGAGCACTAGGCCTTGAGCTGAAGAACACAGACACAGACACACAGACACACACAGACAGACAGACAGACAGACACACACACACACACACACAGGTGGTTAATACATATGTCTGGAAATAAACCCTAAAACTATACATCTTATTAGTCTCATTAAATCATTCTAAACATTTTAGTTAAGGTTGCCTATTGTTTTCAGGGTAAAATTTAAAAACACTGGGCCAAAGAAACTCACCCCATCCCTTGAGCAGAAAATCTTCCTCCTCGTCTACCAGAGCCACCTAAAGTGGGGTAAGAGCAGAGAAAGTATGTTAGAAATAAATATAAAATCATCTCAACAGTGAAAGCAGCTTTGGAATAATATTTGATATATCAGATGCTTTACCTTTCCAGTCCAATCTAGAACATAAATTAGTTAAACGAAATATGACAATCATTCTTGTTGAGGGATTTTGACATTTACCTTCTTATTCTCCACATCAGTAATCTCTAAAATAGGCTTACGATCTTATGAACTAAGATAACCACATGCCATATTAATTTATTTTCAAATAAAATGGCCCTTATGGAACTAAAAAATAACTTGCCCTCAATATCCATCCCCAAAAAACTGATCACCTCTGCCTCGGCCACGGCCTCTTCTGCCTCTTTCTGTACCTCTTCCAGAAGGCCCTCCACTTTTGGTGCCATCCAATCCATTTTCCTGACCCCGAACTAAAATACAAAACAAACACACAACCAGAACAAAAGTCAATAGATATATATGTATAAATATATAAAGGTGGTATAATAAAGATTTGGGAAAGTAGTCTCACCGTGGCTCAAAATGGTAGAGTGAAAAAGCTCAGGGACAGTGCCTAAGCCCTTAAGAGTTTGAGCCCCATAACTGACACACACACACACACACACACACACACACACACACACACACAAAAACTTTAGGGAGACAAAATTAAGAGAATATGAGCTGGAAGAATGGGATATGAAGAAATGGTAATAATAAGCCACAACAGAGGACTATGAATCCAATAACTTTACAAATGACTACAGAGAAATTTTATGCCAGACTAACAGGGGACAAGAAAGCTTTAGGCAGCATAATCATCCCTGGGTACTGCCTAGCACATCTCCTAAATCTAGATGTCACTGACCCACACAGTTTTGATAAAGCCCCATGCATACATTCTCTTCCACGGCTGGCACCTCTTCCCCGTCTTGGTGGCCCACCACGTCGCCGACTATAGTCCCTGTCCCGGTCTCGATTTTCTTTGCCTTCCTCATTGGATTCCGTCTGTCCACCATCCTTCTGTCCTGAGACTCCTTTCTTCTTCCCAACCATCTCCCAGGAATGCTAAATGAAGGTAAAGCATGCATGCCTAATCAATACGGGTATCGATCAGGAAAACTATTCTCAACATTCATGTTAAAGATACTTTCAACTAATATTTAGGAAACAAGGCAGAACTTTATACCTATCTGCCAAAAATGAAGTTCTTTTTTTTGTTGTTGTTGGTTGTGAGGCTTGAACTCTGGGCCTGGGCGCTGTCCCTCAGCTCTTCAGCTCAAGGCTAGTGCTCTACCACTTGAACTACAGAACCACTTCCAGTTTTCTGGTGGCTAGTGGAGATAAGTATCTCATGGACTTTCCTGCCCAAGCTGGTTTTGAACAGCAATCCACAGATCTCAGCCTCCTGAGTAGCTAGGATTATAGGCATGAGCCACCAGCACCTGGCCAAAATTGAAGTTCTTTTTGTGGTTTCTTCAGTTATTGTTTGAGATCAAGACTTCATGCCACCAGCACTTAGTCAAAATTGAAGTTCTTTTGTTGTTTCTTTAATTATTGTTTGAGATCAAGACCAACTATATTGTCCCTAACCTGAAACTCATAATCTAACCACCTCAGCCTCCTGAATTGCTGGGGTTAACAATGTATACCGCTGCATTTAGCTAAAATTAAATGTTCTTTTTGCAGGCTAGGTACTTAAAATAATGGATTTCAGGGATCACTTCCAAAAGATCTCTCCCCAGGTTCAGTTGCTCGGTATATCACAGAACCTAGTAACCTGTCCCTATTAAGTGTGTTCCCTGAGCTGAAAAAACTAATTTCTTTTGGAATGATCAACACCCAGTATTTTACGTTTTGTTTTTTTTTCCATCTTTTCTTTTGGGGGGGGGGTCCGGTTGTGGGGTCTGAACTCTGGGCCTGGGCGCTTTCCCTCAGCTCTTCAGCTCAAGGCTAGCACTCTACCACTTGAGCCACAGTGCCACTTCCGGCTTTTTTCTTTTTTGCTTATGTGGTGCTGAGGAATTGAACCCAGGGCCTCAGGCATGCAAGGCAAGCACTCTACCACTGAGCAACCTTCCCAGCCCAGTATTTTACGTTTTTATTCATAACAAAGAAAAAAAAAAAAACTGAAGCCGGGTACCGGTGGTTCATGCCTGTAATCCCTAGATACTCAGGAGGCTGAAATCTGAGTATCATGGTTCAAAGCCAGCTCGAGGCAGAAAAGTCCATGAGGCTCTTATCTCCAATTAACCACACTGTGACTCAAGTGGTAGAGCGCTCGCCTTGAGCTGAAGAGCTGAGGAACAGTGCCCAGGCCCAGAGTTCAAGCTCCAAGACCAAAAAAAAAAAAAGGCCAGCACACTACCACTTGAACCACACCTTCACTTGCAGTTTTTGGGTTTTGGTCAGTTGTGGGGCTTGAACTCAGGGCCTGGGTGCTATCCCTGAGCTCTTGTGATCAAAGCTAGCACTATACTAATTTGAACACAGCTCTACTTCCAATTTTCTGGTGCTTAAGGAGGTAAGAGTCTCATGTACTTTCCTCCTCATGATCCTCAGCTCTCAGTCTCCTTGAGTATATTTAATTCTTTTTGTTGTTGTTGTTGGTTGTGGGGCCTGAGCGCAGAGCCTGTTGTCCCTGAACTTTTCTGCTCAAGGCTTTGAACTGGAATCCTTAGATCTCAGCTTCCTGGGTAGCTAGGATTATAGACTTGACCACTGGTAGCCGGCCTACTTCTCTTTCTCTCTTTAAGGGCTGATTTTTTTTTTTTTGAGAGAGAACGAGCACTGGAGACTAGAGTTTGAATTCAGCCTCATACTTTCTAGGCTGGTGCTTTACCACTTGAGCCACACCTCTGGTTCTTTTTTAAATTATCCTTTTTTTTTGTTCTACTAGCTTAGTTTTTGTTTTTGTTTTTTTTGTCAGTCGTGGGGCCTGAACTCTGGGCCTGGGCACTGTCCCTCAGCTCTTCAGCTCAAGGCTGGTGCTGCACCACTTGAGCCACAGGGCTACTTCCAGTTTTTTCTGCTTATGTGGTACTGAGGAATCAAACCCAGGGCCTCATGCATTCAAGGCAAGCACTCTACCACTGAGCCACCTTCCCAGCCCCATTAGCTTAGTTTTAAAGAATACATGATACACATATATAAAATATCCAAATCTAATTTGCCCCTTTATCTTAATCTTTACTTTTGAACCATATTTATCCTCATTTACCCTCTCCATTTGCCTACCCTCCTCTCTTCTCCTACTCCTACCCTCAACAGAACATTTTTTTACTTTCTGTCATTCTTCTTTTTTATAATGGATATTAATTGTACCAAGGATTTTCACCATAGTACTTCAGACATGTGTATAACAAATATGCTTCTTTTAAAGGACATTCTTTAACAAGACTCAATACCAGTCCTGAGGAAAATCAACAATAATTCTGTATTATCTAATAGTAGGATCACATTGTATCACTCTTGGTGCTGTAGATCAAAGTGGTGAGCACTAGCCTTTAGCAAAAGAGCTCAGGGACAGCACCAAGGCCTTAAGTTCAAGCCCCACAACCAACAACAAAGCTAGATAGGGAGGTGGCACTATTGACCAACTTATAAAGTAACTTAGTGCCAAATAATTCTAACAGATTAAAGGATTTTGGGGGGGGGAGGGAGGTAGTCGTGGGGTCTGAATTCTGGGCCTAGGTGCTATCCTTCAGCTCTTCAGCTCAAGGCTAGCACTTTACCACTTGAGCCACAGTGCCACTTTTGGCTTTTTCTGCTTATGTGGTGCTAAGGAATTGAACCCAGGGCCTCATGCATGCAAGGCAAGCACTCTACCACTGAGCCACCTTCCCAGCCCAATAGATTTTTTTTTTTAAGTGGCATATACCTACAATGTATATTCAGCCTTCAAGGCATGAAATTCTGATCTATGTATAATATAAACACTGAAAACATGCTATGTGAAATCAGTAAAAGAAAAAAATACCAAGGACAAATGCTATATTAATTTTACTTATATGAGGTAAAATCACACAAACATAAGAGGTTACTAAGGGCTGGAGAAAAAGAAAGAAATGTAGTTATTTAATGCATACCAAATTATTTGAGATTGCTAAGAGTTCTGGAAATAGGAGTGAAGATTGCCCACACTGTAAATGTCTGAATTAAATACTTAAAAATGGCTAGGTATTCATATACTAGCCCATGCCTATAATCCATACTATGTGGGAGACAGAGCTAATGGTTCACAGGAAGCTCTGGGTAAGTTATTGTAACCCTATCTCAATAGTAAATTCAATGTAGTAGTATGAACCTGTGGTGTTACCTATGTAGGAGACAATCAGTAATAGGGAATCAAAGTCTGGTCTGATACTAGGTAAAATCATGGAACTATATCTAAAAAATATCTACAGGGCTGGGAAGGTGGCTCAGTGGTAGAATGCTTGCCTTGCATGCCTGAGGCCCTGGGTTCGATTCCTCAGTACCACATAAGCAAAAAGAAAAAAGCCGGAAGTGGCACTGTGGCTCAAGTGGTAGAGCGCTAGCCTTGAGCTAAAGAGCTGAGGGACAGTGCCCAGGCCCAGAGTTCAGGCCCCACGACCGGACCCAAAACAAACAAACAAAAAAATAAATATCTACAAGCAAAGGTACTGAAAATGTGACCCAAGAAGTAGAGCGCTTGCCTAGCATGTGAGAGGAACTCAGGTCAATGTCCCCTAATTATCCTTTTTCCAAAAATTGGCATATACCTATCATCCCAAGGTATATGGGAAGATGAGGGTGCCAGGCCAGTCTGGGAAGACGTTTGCAAGGCTCTGTCTCCACTGAGGAAACTAGATGAAGTGATACATGTCTGTGATCCCAATGATGATGATTAGAAGCAATATCCTATCCTAATAATTGCTAGTGAAAAACAGAGCTGGAAACACTGCTCAGAAGTACCATTCAAGCTTTAGAAATCATGTGGCCTTGTGTCAAAACCTAGTACCACAAAAATAAACCTAAAAAGAGGACAAATTTGGGACTGGGGTGATAGTTCAATGGTAGAGAACATGCTTAGTATGCATGAGGGCCTCAGTTGAAACCCTAGCTTGCCCCCTAAAGTAGTAAAATTATGAGCCAGGCACTTGTGGCTCATGCCTGTAATCCTAGCTACTTAGGAGGCTGAGATCTGAGGATTGCAGCTCAAAGCCACTGCAAATATAGAAGTCCCCATGAGACTATCTCCAATAAACTACTCAAAAAAGCAGGAGGTCCGGGGCTGGGAAGGTGGCTCAGTGGTAGAGCGCTTGCCTTGCATGCCTGAGGCCCTGGGTTCGATTCCTCAGCACCACACAAGCAAAAAGAAAAAAGCTGGAAGTGGCGCTGTGGCTCAAGTGGTAGAGCACTAGCCTTGAGCTGAAGAGCTGAGGGACAGTGCCCAGGCCCAGAGTTCAGGCCCCATGACTGGACACAAAAAAAAAACAAAAACAAAAGCAGGAGGTCCCACTGTGACTCGAGTGGTAGAGCACTAGCACTAAACACAAAGAGGCTCAGGGATAGCAAACAGGTCTTGAGGTTCAAACTGCAGGACAAAAAAAAAAAAAAAAAAAGTAGTAAAAAGTAGTAAAATTAAAAGTATAATGCAAGTTCAACACCATAAAGTTTACTAAATACAGCAATTGTATAAAAGATTAAGTATCCACCAAGAACTCAGCAGTATCTTTCCACCCACTCTTCTGACCCAAGCTTATTCTTATTACATACAATTGCTGTGTCATTTGATGCTCACAACAGCTTTAATTCAAGTGGCATAACTCTATAGCTAAATCTGCCTCATGAACCATTGAAACTACACTAAAACCAAAATTTACTCTAGTTCCATAACCTGGCAAGTTTAAGGAGCTTGTCACCTTTCTTTTTCCCCTATAAATACACTAACTGCTGGTACCAAATCTATAAGGGAAAAGAATTACTATGATCTTCCTTAAACACTATCAGTTTTCTGATGGACCTATACCTTCAATATTCAACATTCCTAGCAGCTGACTTTGCTTCCCACTGGTTTCACTTGTGGCACAAACACATTATTCTCTAGCTTATTTCTATTTTTTTTTTTGGTCAGTCATGGGGCCTGAACTCTGGGTCTGGGCACGGTCCCTCAGCTCTTTAGCTCAAGGCTAGCGCTCTACCACTTGAGCCATAGTACCACTTCCAGCTTTTTCTACTTATGTGGTGCTGAGGAATCAAACCCAAGGCCTCATGCATGTAAGGCAAGCACTCTACCACTGAGCCTCCTTCCCAGCCCCCTTCTGTTTCTATTTTTGATAAGTCAGGCTTATAGCACTAAACAAAAGATGTAAGGTAAAACAAATGGGACCTGAGGGGTCCCACAAAAAATTATTTTGTGCTGGTACTAGAGCTTGAATTCAGGGTCTGGGTACTGTCCCCTAACTTTTGCTCAAGGCTGGCGCCACCACTTGAGAAACAACTCCACCTGGCTTTTTGAAGTTTAATTGGAGATGAGTCTCAAGGACTTTTCTGCCTAGGCTGACTTTGAACCAGACACTCAGATCTCAGTTTATTGTGTAACTAGGCTTTACAGGCGTGAGCCACTAGCACCTGACAAAAAATAAACTCTTTAAAAGGCATGATAAGGGCCCTGTGCTCACACCTGTAATCCTAGCTACTCAGGAACTGAGATCTGAGGATCGTGGTTCAAAGCCTGCCTGGGCAGCAAAGTCAGTGAGACTATCTCCAAAAAACCACCAGAAAACCAGAAGTGGCACTGTGGCTCAAGTGGCAGAGTGCTAGCCTTGAGCTGAAGAGCAGAAGGACAGCATTCAAGCCCCATGATCAACCAAAAAAAAAAAGGGGGGGGGGCATGATTCTCCCCCCACCAAGAAGAAAAAGAAAAAAGAAATCTTGAGAAAATTATTCCAGAGTAAACCGAAAGAATTCATATTTATCTGGGCAGTGATTTTTCAAAAATAGTGGGTCTTGAACTCTGGGCTCGGGCGCTGTCCCTCAGCTCTTCAGCTCAAGACTAGCGCTCTACCATTTGAGCCACAGCACCACTTCCAGTTTCCTGAGTGGTTTATTGGAAAGTCTCACGGACTTTGCCTGCCTAGTATGGCTTTGAATCACAATCCTCAGATATCAGCCTCCTGAGTAGCTAGGATTACAGGTATGAGCCACAGGGGTCCAATGGCACTATACTTTTGAGAGGAAAAAAAGTTAACTTCAATTATTTTAGAGTACTTTCCTAGCATGTATGAAGCCCTGGGTTCAATCCTTAGTACCACATAAACAGAAAAAACTGGAAGTTGTGCTGAGGCTCAAGTGGTATGGTGCTAGTCTTGAGCAAAAAGTAGCTTAGGGATAGTGCCCAGTCCTGAGTTCAAGCCCCATGACTGGCCAAAAAAAAAAAGCTCTATGGTAATATCCCAAAGGTTAGTAAAGCAGTGTTCCTAAAAATATTGTAACTAAGGCTGGGAAGGTGGCTCAGTGGTAGAGGGCTTGCCTTGCATGCATGAGGCCCTGGATTCAATTCCCCAGCACCACATAAGCAAAAAGAAAAAAAGCCGGAAGTGGCTCTGTGGCTCAAGTGGTAGAGCACTAGCCTTGAGCTGAGGAGCTGAGGGACAGTGCCCAGGTCCAGAGGTCAGGCCCCACAACCAAAAAAAAAAAAAAAATTATAACTATAATCTGGCACAAAGACAAACAGAAAAACAGAATTTTCATAAAGTAGGAAAAAGTGAAACTAACTTGGCTAAATTCTAGGGTAACCAATCCTCTCTATCAGTCTAGGGTTGACAAATGCTTTCTTTGCTACTGCAACAAAATTAAGTTCAAGCAATTAAATAATATTAATATGATGCTATGGTGACACTGATTGGTATATCCTGAATTCAAAATGAGTATGAAGCCAGGTGCCAGTGGCTCATGCTTAGAATCCTAGCTCAGGAGGCTGAGATCTGAGGACCTCAGTTCAAAGCCAGCCTGGGCAGGAAAGTCCAATTAACCACCAGAAAACCGCAAGTGGCACTGTAGCTCAAGTGGTAGAGCGCTCACCTTGAGCTGAAGAGCTCAGAGATAGCACCCAGGCACAGAGTTCAAGACCCATGAGCAACCAAAAAAAAAAAAAAAAGTATGACTTTGCTCAACAAAAATAAAAATAGACGAGCAGAAATCTTCCATGATTAGTAACTTAAGACTATCAAACACCAGCAATAATTCACAATAAGCCACCTACTTTTTTGCCTGTTTTCTGCAATGTGTTGTACAAAAATTTTAAGTACTATCTGTAGCAACCAATCCCCAAATCTTGCTACTCTAGTTTGACAACAAAGTATGCTGGTTTAGGTAACTTGCCCTACTAGCTATTTTTAGATGATTAGCCTTCCAACCCAAAACCCACATTCTAAAACATTTTATTAGCACTCTACCGTGTCTGGGTTTCCTTCCAGCAAAACATTGATGGCTCTGTTGACATCTCCATTACAGTCATGCAAAGCAATCACACACTCATCCTGGTTCTTGCCTGTGATGTCAATCAACTGAAAGAGAAAAATCAACAATCATCATGAAGAAGATTTCACCACACACAAAAAAAGCCAGGCAAAACAAATTCAAGGGATTCCATCTCCAAAACAACCAACAAGAAGTCAAGCTGGAGGTATGACTCAAATGGAGGAGTGCCAGACAAGTGATCAAGTCCAAGATCCTGAATTCAAATTCTAGTACCAGCAAAATATGTAAAATGTATAGTTCTATTCCCAAAATACTAACACCTATAATTTATAATTAGGGTCAAAGTATAAAGCAATCAAATAAATAAGCACCAAATGGAGAATCAAAAAACCTTAGCCACAGGATTTAGCATTATCAATGTTCACATTTCTGAGATCCATAGCTGCTTAAAGTTGTTGTATGTGGTAAGAGCTTAGCATATACAATGCCCTAGGTTCAACACCCAAAACCATAAAACACATACAACAGTCATTCAATAAAATCAGAAGATAAAACTGCTAAACAGATTATCTATCCACAAGGACACCGTATATCAGAAAACAAAAACACCTTTTAGAACAACTTTTCAGAACCTTTTTAGATCAATTATTTCAAAAAATATAGAAGAAAAAAAAATATAGAAGAATCCTAGTGGGCATCTATACTATTTGAATATACTTTAATTTTGATTTCTTTTCACTAAGCTTACACAAAATAGTGGTTACTCACTTGTTTCACCTTCTCCTCAAAGTCAGCATCATTATGGTCCGAAATCATCTGTGCAAGTCGAATTTGTTCTGCAGTGGCCTTGGAATGAAAATGATCAAAAATTTTAAGAGGCAAGAATTCAAAAATAAGGGGAACCTAAGTTGTTAATCTCTACATTCTGCACTACCCATTTCTTTTTGTCTGTCAAATATGCAAGCAAGCCCGGTGCCCATGGCTCATGCCTGTAATCCTAACTACTCAAGAGGCGGAGATGTGGATAAAGGTTTGAAGCCAGCCAGGGCAGGAAAGTCTGTGAGACTCTTATCTCCAACCAAAAGCTCAGAGACAGCACTCACACAGTGAGTTGAAGCTCTGAGACCAGAACTAGAATAAACAATAAACAAACAAACAAATGCCCAAGCTATGGGGTCCTGGATCACACTTGTAATCTTAGCTACTCAGGAGGCTGAGATCTGAGGATCCTGGTTCAAAACTCAGCCAGGACAGATAATCTGTGCAACTCATTTCCAATTAACCAACAAAAAGCAGAAGTGCAGGTATGGCTCAAGTGGTACAATGTCAGCCTGGAGCAAAAAAGCCATGCAAAAGTGGGAGACCCTGACTTCAAGCCCCAGTACTGGCATACACACATACATGAAAGACCAGGCAATAATGTCATCTTTTAAATGCCTAAATCAGCAAAATATCAGAAGCAGAATGAAGCCATAACTCTTTTCTTTTCTTTAGTCTAAATCCAATCTCAGTACTTAACATTTTTGCTCACTGGTTAGCACTGTACCACCTGAGCCATGCCTCCAACTCTGAAGCTCTAACTGTCTCACTTCTACAATCTACAAAGAACAGGTAGTTTTTCCACAAATCTTCAGTTAAAAGAGCTTTCAGCTCAGAATTACATCATTAACCTTGCAACACAAGCCCCTTAATTCACATTAATGTGTTTGCAAAGTTGGACTGGGGGTGTGGGAAACCAAGCATGAGGCAGAATTCAATCCATAGTACTAGAAAGCAAAAATTGTACCAGTTTCCTATGTTTTCAATTACCAATGCTACCTCTTATTGCAAGTAAGATTTAGCTCAAAGATAGCTTCGTTATATCTTCTGAGTATCCAATGCTATATAAGGACATCAACATTTTATTGTTATAATTGAAATTAAATTCTAAGTACTAGGGCTGGGAAGGTGGCTCAGTGGTAGAGCGCTTGCCTTGCATGCATGACGCCCTGGGTTCGATTCCTCAGCACCACATAAGCAAAAAGAAAAAAGCCGGAAGTGGCGCTGTGGCTCAAGTGGTAGAGTGCTAGCCTTGAGCTATAGAGCTGAGGGATAGCACCCAGGCCCAGAGTTCAGGCCCCATGGCCAGACCCCCCCCCCCCCCCCAAAAAAGAAAATGCTGTTATAGACACAAAGCATAAAATCCAAACTGAAGCAATATAGGATTAGATAATACAAAAACCACTTTGTACCAAAGTCATTACCAGGTTCCTAGATTAAAAAAAAAATAAAGTGTAAAAAGGGCCAGATAACAGTAAGAAACCTACATGAATACTTCAAAGCAGAGAATGATGTTATAAATTGCATGGAAACAACTATCAACCACCAAACCTACCCACTGATCTGTATTCCTTGCATTCTTTACCTGTGGCCGCTGCTTGTGCTGTGTCTGATTTTGGTTTTGAGGTTGTTCCCAGTTTCCCCGGGCTCGGTTAGTGCCCACCGATGTCATCATTTACAGTATATACAAATAACAGTATTTACAAGGTAGGATACTGAAGATTGAAAAAGAGAGAAAAGAGTTTAGGTACCAAGTATGGGCAAAATGTGTTAAATTTCACCACCCCACACCACTTTCTTCAAAGGAACACACCAAGAAGATTCGCCAATACTTGAGACAATTCATTTGATCAATTCCTTAAGGAGCTACAGATGATATTTCATTTTTATACCACAAGAACTGCCTATATAAGGCTGGATATTTATCTCAGTAAACGTGTGTACATGCATTCACAAGGCCTGGAGCCAGAGCCTCAGCACAACGCTGTCACCACCATCAATTTAGTATAAAGTATGTGTACATATTTCATGGTTTAGCTACTTTTAACTTTAAGCAAAACAATGTTAACAATCAAGTCTTCTATACAAGTCAAAGTATGTGAAGTCCTTTTGACAAAGAAAAGTAGTCAACAAAGCCTGAAACCAAATAAATGCCTTCCAGGAGCCTGCCAGCAAGCTAGGAAGGCTCAAGCTAAACTGGGAAAACAGCAAGTTCAAGGCCAGTGTGGGCTACAGGGTAGACCCTAGTCAGAGAGAGGGGGAAGAAATCAGCCTTCCAGGAAGAATAAATCTGTATTCCAGATCACTCTCTTTCTCTCACAACACACACACACACACACACACACACACACACACACACACACACATTTTCAATCTACCTAAGTAAGCAGCCTCTTTCTGCCTTACAATTGGTCTGTTGGTCTCATCTCTTCAGGTAAAAACGCCAAGTACACCTCCACACTCACCTTAATAAACCAAGTACATCCCCAAGTTGTTGTTTTTTTTTTTAAGAACTTTCTAGGAAATTGTTTTAAGCAAGATACTAAAGCTGGGCTGGGAAGGTGGCTCAGTAGTAGAGCGCTTGCCTTGCATGCATGAGGCCCTGGGTTCGATTCCTCAGCACCACATAAGCAAAAAGAAAAAAGCCGGAAGTGGCACTGTGGCTCAAGTGGTAGAGCACTAACCTTGAACTGAAGAGCTGAGGGATAGTGCCCAGGCCCAGAGTTCAGGCCCATGACCGGACCCAAAAACAAAAACAAAAAAAAGATACTAAAGCTTACAGGATAACTTCTTTAAAGAGATACTAAACACAAGGCCTCCCCAAAACCAGAATATTGTTTCTGTTAAGAAATTTCTACCAAGCAATGATTCTACAGAAGTCATACTCCTTTCATTCACTTTGTTTATAATACATTTAGTAAAGAAAATATTCAGCATATGATAGATGGCTCAAAAATGAGAGGTTACTTTGCAGTTTCATTTCCTTCCAACAGAATAAATTTTCTGTTCTCCATTATATTTTGTCATTAATGGGACACTACACAAAGTAATCCCAGATTACCCAGAATATTGCTAGATGTTGAGGTAGTAAAATTTTTCTGAAGAAATATGTAATCGAAAAACATAACAAACATTCCTATGGATAATCTTCACTGAGTTGGGTCAATGAGTTGCTCTTCAACGTAGTTGAAAGAATGAAAAGTACATTCTCTACCAATATTCTTTTTTTTTTTTTTGGGTCCAGTTGTGAGGCCTGAACTCTGGGCCTGGGCGCTGTCCCTCAGCTCTTCAGCTCAAGGCTAGCGCTCTACCACTTGAGCCACAGTGCCACTTCTGGCTTTTTTCTTTTTGCTTATGTGGTGCTGAGGAATCAAACCCAGGCCTCAGGCATGCAAGGCAAGCACTCTACCACTGAGCCACCTTCCCAACCCCTCTACCAATATTCTTAAGGCCGTTTTAGTGTTTTGGTCATGGGGTTTGAAATCAGTCACTGTCCCTTACCTCTCCCATTCAAGGCTAGTTCTACCACTTTGAGCCACAGCTTCACTTCCGGTTTTCTGGCAGTTAAATGGAATTGAGTCTCAAGGACTTTGTTGCCCAGACTGGCTTTGAACCACAATTCTCAGATCTCAGCCTCCTGAATTGCATAACAGATGTGAGTTATCAAGGACCAGCTAGTACTATTTTCTCCCCCATTATCTCTCCTTCTATATATATGTACACACAAAGGCCTGCAAATACGTTGAGCTAGTACAGGACTAGAAGACTTGTGGAGTGATATTTGCTACAAAGCAGTCAGGCATCTTAAAATGTTATACTTAATTTTTCTTAAGTGTTTAATAACCAAGTACTCCATAAACACAAACCAACAAAAGGAAAAGAAAATCAAGTTAAGACTAAAGGAAAAGTTTCTTGTTCTTGGGTATTTGTGTGTGTGCGCCAGTCCTGGAGCTTGAACTCAGAGCCTGGGCACTGTCCTTGAGCTTTCTTGCTCAAGGCTAGCACCCTACCACTTGAGCCACAACTTTACTTCCAGAAACTTGGTGGTTAATGAATTTTCCTGCGCAAGCTGGCTTTGAACTGCAATCCTCAGATTTCAGCCTCCTGAGTAACGAGGATTACAGGCATGAGCCACCAGCATCTGGCCACCCAGTTTTAAAATTGTAAAATAGTTTCTAATACAGATTAGTCATTCCCAAATTTTCCACCCCCAGCTTAACAATACTGATTTCTACATTACATATAATTTTTTAAAATAAGCTATAGCACAGATATAAGCAAGCTATGGAATTAGCTGTCAGTCATTGCACATACTTTCCCAAATATGATTTTCCAGTCAGTATGACAGAAAAATATCTTAAAAATATAACCGAGAGGAAAAAAACCAGCCTGACTCCTTTGGTATATTAACTTCATTTTCCAGTACAAGTGCTTTAAAATGTGTGACAGAGAATTTTACTACCTAGATAATAAAACACCTAGCAACAGGTCTAAAAGTAGACACAAAATTCGTTACTTTTTAGTAACAAGCAGAAACAAATACAGAGTTTATCATCCTACAGATGGGGACTCTTGTTACTCTTTCTTGAAAAATAATACTTAAATGAAGACCAAGGAACAAATTCAAGATTCAACAAAATGCTCTTGAAAACCAGCTACTTAAAAAATAGCCAGAGAAATTTTACTGAAAAAAATAGGTAACAAATATTTATTGAGTATTTACTATAATGCCCAATGCTTCAGGAAATACAAAAGTATGACTGGGTTACTGCCCTCGGGGAGCTCACAATCTAATTTGAGAAACAATTCAGAAGCTGAAGCTGGACCGTTTGCTACCTCTAACAGAGCCAACTAACTTCCCTAGTAGCATTGTTGGAATGACCTCCACGTCCCCTTCCCCACCACCTTGAGTCCAGTAAGAGGCTTTCCCAGTTAGGACCCAATTAGCAAGGAGGGGCCTTAAAAATGAAAAACAGTACATTTTTTGGTCTTTTGCCATTATTTTACATGCCAGCAATACTTCCCATTCACAACAGAAACAATCTTGGGTATATAGTCTAAAGACAATGGATATAAGACGTCAAAGCAGTTTATCAACCCATATAGAGGCAAATGTTTTAATTCTTTAGTAATGCTGGCTGTCATCAACTCCCAATACCACCAGCAATTAACACCAGGTATCCTCAAAGCAGGACATGAGGAAGGGAAAGTGGAGACCGACTCCCCCCCCCCCCCCCCAAAAAGGATTTCTCTAATAATCACGGAGGCTCAAAGGCAAACCGTTAACAACAAAAACGCGATATTGTGATGTTTCTCTTTCTACAACATCCTACACTAGCGGTGGCTACATTTCAAGAAGAGTGGAAAAAGGAGCAGTCGCCCGTGTGTGACATCAGTTTGTAAGGCAATTTATAATCTGTCCTCAAGGTAAGGTTTGAAGAAATTTGGAATTCTTGTCCCATTATGACAACAGTGAACAAATACCCCAGTAATCTAGTGACGTCTCTTAGGCGTAATACACCTTAAGGGGAGCCTCCATGCCCGGCCTCCTCAAAACATAATTGTTTATGGCACCCCAAACTACACTATAGATAACAAGAAGCTAAAGACAGCAGCAAAAAATATATAACAAGAGCCGGGTGGGTAAGAAAAACGGAAGGGTAACAAGAAGAGCTGACAAAGAGGTTGGGAGCGAAGAGGGGACGCAAGCCCACGCGCGGAGGATGGGAGGCTCACCTCCCTGCCCCCCCCACCGCGCCACATCAGGAGCCCACCGAGCCAATCGCCTCTCCACCTCCCACCCGGAACAAATTAATCCTCCGCACTCCAAATTGAGGGCCACATGGGGGAGTTTGGGGCAGCTCCACCCCATCGCCTTTCCTCCCTCTCCCACCGCCCCCCCTCCACACTCCGCCACCTCCAACCAGGCCGGATCCGGATCAGAAGAGGCCTGCAGAGGGCTGGAAAGGGAGGAGGCCCTCTCCTCCACAGGCACCGGCCATGGTGGAGATAGCCCTACCTCAGGCAAGGCCCAGGCCTCACTCGCTCGCGCTCTTTCTCGCTCTCCTCCTTCAGACTCTAGCCGCATGCCCCCCCCCCCCCCGCCGGCTGTCCCAAGCCCCGCCCCGGCCACGCTCCCAAATCGAGGCCCCGGCTCTGGCGCGGCCCAGTAGGCCGCGAACCCAACCATAAACAAAACCTCCTGCGACCGACTAGAGGTGGGGGCGCCAGGGCTCGCATAACTACAAGAGGGGGGGTGTACAGTGGGGAAACACGGAGCGGTGGGGGCCCTACCGAGAGAGGGTGATACGGCGGGGATAAGGGAGAGAGGAGGGAGGGTAAAAGGGGGGGGGGAATCGCGGATTTAAAGGGGCCGCGGACAATACCCGGCCCCGCCGCGCTGCCGCTGCCGCCGCCGCCGCCGCCGCCAACGCCGCTGCGCTCCCAACTTTACCTCAGTCTCCTCCACACTGACACCCCGGGCCGCGCCGCCCCTAGTCACGTGATATAAGATTCCCTCCTCCCCACCCCCTCTCTCCTTTTCCCTCTCGCGCTCGCTCTCGCGCCTTCCCCCTCCCACTTGCCTTCCTGCGTCCCCCAGCACGTGATGAGAAAAGGGACGCGCACGCCGGCGTGCGCGCGCCGCCACGCCACGAAACACCGCACTTAAGCGTCAGCCCCGCCCCCTCCACGGCAGCCCCACCTCCACCACCTCCACCACGTGACGCACTGGTGGCCTCTGCTTCCTCTTGCTGGCGAAGTTCCGCATCTCCGCTCCCAGGTGCCACTGCTTTGCCTGGGTCACGTGTCTGGGGAAGCGGGAAGGCGTCGTTCTACTTTCCTAGACCGTCTCCCCACCCCCCCACCCCATCCGCCATGTTTTCAGGCTGGGTCTGGCTCAGGCTACCCCCCTAAAGAAATGGCCGGGGAGCTGCAAGGAACCTGGGCATCGTGGCTTCGCCTCAGTCTGGGCTAACGAACCAGGGCAGCAGGAAAACCTGAGTTCTGCGCGGGGAGGGAGGCCATGGCGTCCAGCAGTAACTGGTTGTCCGGGGTGAATGTCGTGCTCGTGATGGCCTACGGGAGCCTGGTGAGAAGAACCCCCGCCCTATTCCTGAAGTCTGACCCAATCCAGACCCTTGAGTCACTCCCTGACTTCATCCATCCACTCACCTGGGCTTTTGATTCTTATCCCTGGGGTACCTGGGAGCTAAGGCACAGCCCCAGACCCGCCCCTTTCTGAGAACCCTTCTAAGTTCCAGGGCGCTAACCCACGCCTCCTCGCTCCTAGTTTCCCGAGATCTACCCCCATCCTTGACGTTTTGCCCCAAGCATCCAACCTTGAGTACCTAAATTTGGGGATTTTGAATGAACGCATGTTACCAAAAAAAAAAAAAATCTATTAAAGATTTCTTATCTTTTTTTGACAGGTATTTGTACTGCTATTTATTTTTGTGAAGAGGCAAATCATGCGCTTTGCAATGAAATCTAGAAGGGGACCTCATGTCCCTGTGGGACACAATGCTCCCAAGGTAGGTCCTTCAGGCAAAAATAACCTTCCAAGCTTTTAGGGACAAGAAATGAGATCCTTCCCAGATTTTTAAAGATGATTAATTTACATGTTTTCAAGTGCCTTCTTTTACTTACATGAACATAAACTGTTAAGCTTCTGGTCCTTGTCTCATTTGGTTCACAATATGGTCCAGAATGTAGTTTAGCAAGAATTTAGGATTTTGCATTTGCAGAATGAAAGGCTTGAAGTTATCACCCCTGCTGTAGAATGTTTCACAGTTCATGTTACTTAGTGTTTTTTGCTTGCTTTATTTTTGGATGGTGTTGAGATTACAGTTGGCAACCAGAGCCATAAGATGGGTTGGCTTTGCAGAATTTTTTAAAATTTTTATTCTTAATTTAATTTTTTTGCCAGTGGCAGGGCTTGTACTCGGGCCCAGGTTCTATCTCTGAGCTTTTATGTTGAAGGCTAGTACTCTCACCACTTTCAGCCACAACTCCACTTCTGGTTCTCTGGTGATTAATTGGAGATTAAAGTCTCTTTGACTTCTCTGCCTGCTGGCTTTGAACCATGATCCTTAGATCCCAGCCCCCTGAGTAGGTAGGATTACTGACACTCAGATTTTGTTTACATTCTCTTGTTAGGTGATTGCTTGCTTCCTTTGGTTTTAAGGAGGATGAAATTTCATGTGTACCCCAAACCTCTCTTTTCCTGAATTTTATACTTATATAGCCAACTGCCCTACCTGATATTTCCACTTAGATATTTTTTGGGGGGAGGGGAGATATTGAGGTTCTAAAGGCTTGTTTTTTTGTTGGGCCTACTTAACACTTAGAGCCATACAGCCTGGGGTTTTGTTTTGTTTTGTTTTTTGTACCAGTACTAAAGCATGAACTCAGAGCCTGGGAACTGTCCCTGAGTTGTTTTTTGGATTTGGTTTTGTTTTGCTCAAGGCTAGTACTCTATCACTTAAGCTCAACTTCCAGAGGTTTTTTTTTTTTTTTTTGGGTCCGGTCGTGGGGCCTGAACTCTGGGACTGGGTGCTGTCCATCAGCTCTTCAGCTCAAGGCTAGCACTCTACCACTTGAGCCACAGCGCCACTTCTGGCTTTTTTCTTTTTTTTCTTTTTTTTTTGTTTATGTGGTGCTGAGGAATCAAACCCAGGGCCTCATGCATGCAAGGCAAGTGCTCTACCACTGAGCCACCTTCCCAACCCCCCCACTTCCAGATTTTTTAGTGTTTAATTGGTGATTACAAATCTTTTGAACTGCAGCACTCAGCCTGAGATCTGAACTCAGATCTCAGCCTTCTGTGTACTTAGGATTACAGAAGTGAGCTACCTGTGGTCAGCCACCCACTCCTTTTTTTTTGTTTTTGGTCAGTCATGGGCCTGAACTCTGGGCCTGGGCACTGTCCCTGAGCTCTTTAGCTCAAGGCTAGCGCTTTACCCCTTGAGCTACAGCACCACTTCCGGCTTTTTCTGCTTATGTGGTACTGAGGAATCGAACCCAGGGCCTCATGCATGCAAGGCAAGCAATCTACCACTGAGCCACCTTCCTAGCCCCCAGTCCTTTTTTTCTTAACAGAAAAAAAAATTACAGTCCTGGAGCTTGAACTCAGGGACTGAATGCTGTTCCTGAGCTTTATTTAAAGATCAAGGCTAGCACTCTACCACTTAGGTCAGAGCTGTACTTTCAGCTTTTTTTACTGGTTAACTGGAGATAAGAGTATGGCTGACTTTCCTGTCTGGGCTGGCTTCAACCCATAATTATATCTCAGCCTCCTGAGTAGCTAGTATTACAGGTATCCACCACCAGTGCCAAGCTGTTTTATTTTGAGGGGAGGGGGGTCAGGTCGTGGGGCCTGAACTCTGGGCCTGGGCGCTGTCCCTCAGCTCTTCAGCTCAAGGCTAGTGCTCTACCACTTGAGCCACAGCACCACTTTGGGCGTTTTCCTGCTCATGTGGTGCTGAGGAATCGAATTCAGGGCCTCTTGCATGCAAGGCAAGCGCTCTACCACTGAGCCACCTTCCCACCCCCAATCTGTTTTATTTTTCAGGTAGGATTTCATATGTTTTTGCCCAGAGTTAGCTTGAAACTGAGACCCTCTTACCTACATATGCCTACACAGCTGGGAATATGTATAGGAACCACCATGCCCAGCTTATTGATTGAAATAGGATCTAACTTTTTGCCTAAGCTAGCCTTGACTTTAATCTTCCAGATTTCTCTCTTCCTCAAGTTACAGACACGAGCCACTAAGCCTAGTTCCAACTTAGTTTTCTAATAGAAATCCCAAACCTAACATCTAAATCAGAACTCTTGATATCTTACTACTATGACCATATAGCTTTAGTCTTCTCAGTAATAGGCATTTGCTGGCTTTACCATCTTCTTTTATACGGTATCTTCCCAATTACTGAGATCCAGCTCCATTGGTTGAATTTCAGACCTTTGCATATGCTATTACTGTGACTTAGAATGATCTCCACTTACCCAGCTAATTCATTCTTTAGATCGGAGCTTAAACAGAATAGTTACTTATTATTTTTTAAATAATTGTATTGGGGCTGGGAGAGTGGCTCAGAGGGAGAGTGCTTGCCTCACATGTATGAGGCCCTGGGTTTGATTCCTCAGCACCACATAAGCAGAAAAAGCTGGAAGTAGCACTTTGACTCAAATGGTAGAGCACTAGCCTTGATTTGAAGAGCCGAAGGACCGACAAAAAAAAAAATTGTATTGCTGGGCGCCAGTGGCGCACACCTGGAATCCTAACTACTCAAGAGGCTAAGATCTGAGGATCACAGTTTGAAGCTAGCCCGGGCAAAAAAGCCTCTGTGAGAGCCTTATCTCCATTAAACTACTCAGAAAAAGCCAGAAGTGGTGCAGTGGCTCAAGGGATAAAAGTGCTAGCCTTGAGCACAAAGAGGCTCATGGAAAGTGCCCAGGTCCTGAGTTCAAGCCCCAGGACTGGCAACAAAAAAAAAAAAAACAAAAAAAAGTGAGACCCTGAGTTCAAGCCTCATTACCACCACAAAAATATGTATAAAAGCATCATGCCATTGTTGCTCAACAATTTAAAGCTAAGGCAAAACATAGCATGTATTCAGTAACATGGTAAGTGAAAAGTAGATTAATGGAGAACTAAGTCTCTCAACTCCTGGGGCAGTAATTTTAGCACCCCCCTAAGTATAAAGTCTCAGAAATGTCATGGCCTGAAACTTCAATAGTGCTCTCTCCACCACTTGCTTCACAAAAAGAATGTAGGGCCCAAGTTCCAGCATATCATAAGCTAGGAAAACTGGGTATTTAAGTCACCTCTAAACTATACGAGATTAACATTTGTCATCTAAATTCTTACCTATTAATAATGAAAGAATAAGTTGAAGCCAGGCGCTGGTGGCTCACACCTGTAATCCTAGCTACTCAGGAGGCTGAGATCTGAGGATCTCCGTTCAAAGCCAGCCCGGGGAAGGAAAGTCTGTGAGACTCTTATCTCTAATAAACCACTAGAAAACCGGAAGTGGCACTGTGGCTCAAGTGGTATAGTGCTTGCCTTGAGCTGAAGAGTGCAGGGACAGCGCCCAAGCCCAGAGTTCAAGCCCCATGACCAACCAAAAAAAAATAAGTTGTGGCATAGTGGTATAGTGGTAGAATATTTGCAAAGCATGCATGAAGCCCTGGGTTTGATTCCTCGGTATCACATAAACAGAAAAGGCCGGAAGTGGCACTGTGGTTCAAGTGGTAGAGTGCTAGCCTTGAGCAAAAGAAGGTCAGGGACATTTTTGGACCCTGAGTCCAAGCCCCAGGACAGGCAAAAAAATGAATTGATATAACCACTTTACAATAATATAATTGGACACTATGTACTAATATTGTATATATGTATCTAATCCATGTCCCAGCAGTATATAAGTTTTGTTTATAAGTAATAAGAATATTCAAGGGGGGCA